CTTCTCAATGGTAAGAACTACCATTCTTGGGTTCGAACAATGACAAGAGCACTTCGATCCAAGAACAAATTTGGCTTTGTAGATGGCAGCATTCCGATTCCAGCTGCGACAGATCCCCTGCATTATGCATGGGAAAGATGCAACATGATGGTCCTTTCTTGGATTACTCATTCAATCACAGAGACCATAGGTCAATCTGTTCTTTGTATGGAACAAGCTTCACAAGTCTGGAAAGATTTGAGAGAAAGATTTTCTCAATCTGATACTTTTCGCATAGCAGACCTCCAAGAAGATATATTTCGTTTGCAGCAAGGAGCAAGATCTGTGTCAGAATACTACACTCAGTTGAAGATTTTATGGGATGAACTTAACAGTCTTGAACCTTCCCTAAATTGCACATGTGCTGCATTAACTCGAATACAAGCAATTAAAGAAAGAGACCACATAATTCGGTTTCTAAGGGGTCTTAGTGAAAGATATGCCCAAGCAAGAGCTCAAATTATGCTCATGCAACCTTTACCAGGTATGAATCAAGTTTTCTCACTGATTATTCAACAAGAACGTCAGTTGAACACAGACATTGTTGATAATCCAGTTGGAGATGAAACTAAAACCTTGTTGAATGTTACTACTCATCAATATGCACCATCTGGAAGAGGCTTTATTGGTAGAGGTCGTGGTGTCTTTCCTGGAAGAGGTCGTGGTTTTATTGGTAGAGGTCGTGGAATCAATGCCAAGATTTGCACTCATTGTGGCAGAACCAATCATACTGTGGATACATGTTACAAGAAACATGGATATCCACCTGGCTACAATCAATATTCCTCTCATAAAGCAAATGCAGTCACTCAAGAAGATAATGATGAAGGTCCTGATGAATTCTTTGAAGATCAAGATCAAAAGTCTCATGATCAAAGCTATAGTTTTTCTAAGGAGCAATATGACAGCATTCTGGATATGTTACAACACACCAGAATGAATTCCAATCATGCTTCAAATTCGGTACACACCAATATAGTCACTGCCAATCCTTCTCAAACAGGTAATTCCAATATTCAATGGATATTGGACACTGGAGCCACTGACCACATTTCCTATAATTCTGGTATTTTTGCCTCAATTAAACCCATTAAACCAGTTTTCATCAATTTGCCAGATGGTTCACAGATTCAAGCCTTTCAATCTGGAGTTGTTCATGTATCTAATTTTCTTACTTTAAATGATGTTCTTTATGTTGAGTCATTTAAAGTAAATCTTATTTCCATCACCAAATTATTACATGATTTAAAATGCTCCATCACCTTTAATGAATCTATCTGTCATATTGTGCAGCCTACCAACCAGAGGATGATTGGTTCAGCTAAACAAGTAGGTGGATTGTATGTGCTAAATCAAGAAACGTGTGGAGATTCCCCAAATCATAGTCAATATAATAGTGTGAATAACATCACAAGCCAATCCATATGGCACTACAGATTTGGTCACTGCTCTCAACCTGTTATGCAGACTATTTGTACCCTTTTTCCTTTCATAAAAAGTCATACTGTTGCTCCATGTGATGCTTGTCACTTTGCTAAGCAAAGAAAAATACCTTTTCCTATTAGTTCTTCTGTAACCTCTCATATTTTTGATCTAATACATACAGATATTTGGGGTCCTTACAGTGTACCTTCTCTTTCTGGTCATCAATATTTTTTGACTATAATTGATGATTTTTCACGATTCTGTTGGGTCATATTAATGAAACATAAGTCAGAAACTCGTGGTCATATTCAGAACTTTGTTAAAATTGTTAAAACTCAATTTCACAGCAATATTAAAACTATTAGAAGTGACAATGGACCCGAATTTCTGATGTCAACTTTTTTCAAAGAAAAAGGTATTATACACCAAACATCTTGTGTTGAATCTCCTCAACAAAATGGTGTTGTTGAAAGAAAACACCAACACATTCTCAATGTAGCCAGATCCCTCCTTTTTCAATCAAAAATTCCGCTTACATTCTGGACCTATTGCATCACACATGCTGTTCACATTATAAATAGACTACCTACCCCTAATCTCAACAACAAAACTCCATATGAACTATTACACAACAAATCTCCTATCATAATACATCTTAAAGTTTTTGGATGCCTTTGTTATGCTTCCACTCTCCATGCTAACCGAACCAAATTTCAACCTAGAGCCAGAAAAACTGTCTTCCTTGGTTATAAAGATGGAACTAAGGGATACCTTTTATATGACCTTCTCACTCATAATATCTTTATTTCCAGAAATGTTGTATTTTATGAATCTGTTTTTCCTTTCTTCCAAACAGATCAGCAACAATCACCTTGTCCTACTGATTCTTGTTTCACACCCATTTATGATGACAACACATCTCATTCCACACAACCAAACTTACCTCAGTATCAGAATCAAGTTACTGATACAACTATTCAAAATCAAAATCCTAGAACTGACAACTCTCCAACACAAAACCCTCCAAAAAGATCCACTCGAGTGAGACAACCTCCACAGTACCTCAAAGATTTTCACTACAATACACCTGCTGCACATGCCATAATCAATTCATCCTCAGGTATCTCTTCTTCCTCTTCTTATCCTTTATCATCAGTATTGTCTTATAACAGATGCTCCTCATCCCATACATCTTTTTGCCACAACATTTCTTCCCATTCTGAACCAAATACATACAAGCAAGCTGCTTCTGATCCAAATTGGCAGCAAGCTATGAATGATGAATTGCAAGCCTTAGAGAAGAACAAGACATGGACCATGGTTGATTTACCAGCTGGCAAGCAACCTATTGATTGCAAATGGGTCTACAAAATAAAACACAAAGCCGATGGAACTATAGATCGATACAAAGCTAGATTAGTAGCTAAAGGTTTCACTCAACTAGAAGGTATGGATTATTTTGATACCTTTTCTCCTGTTGTTAAAATTACAACAGTGAGAACTCTTCTTGCTATTGCAACTGCTCGAAATTGGAACATTGAACAACTGGATGTGAACAATGCATTTCTCCATGGAGATTTGAATGAAGAAGTCTACATGGTAGTTCCTCCAGGTCTTCCTTCATCTTCTTCACAAGTTTGCAAACTGCAAAAATCCTTGTATGGCTTAAAGCAGGCCAGTAGACAATGGAATGCTAAGCTTACTGTTGCACTTCTTAATCTGGGATATACACAGTCACTTGCTGATTACTCTCTTTTCATAAAGCACAAGGGAAGCTCATTTACTGCACTACTGGTTTATGTAGATGATATTGTTTTAACCGGGAATGATCAAGCTGAAATTTCTATGGTTAAATCCTCACTTCATCATCAATTCAGCATCAAGGACTTAGGATCTTTGAAATTTTTTCTTGGTTTGGAAATCATCCGTTCCAAACGTGGCATGATTATCAACCAAAGAAAATATGCACTTGAATTATTATCTGACACAGGTCTCCTAGCTGCCAAGTCTGCCTCCACTCCCTTGGACCCAGCTCATAAACTTCAGAGACATCAAGGAACACCTCACCCTGATGTTCTTGAATATCGCAGAATCATTGGAAGGCTTCTTTATTTAACCACAACTCGTCCAGACATCTCACATGCCGTCCAACAGTTAAGCCAGTATGTCTCCTCACCTATGGACACTCACTTTAAAGCTGCCTGTCATGTTTTACGATACATTAAAGGGTCCCCATCAAAAGGTCTCTTTTTCCCTGCCACAAATGATCTTCGCATTTCAGCCTTTGCTGATTCTGATTGGGCAAGCTGCCCTGACACACGTAGGTCTATATCTGGCTTCTGCATTTTCCTAGGTCCATCTTTGATATCCTGGAAATCAAAGAAGCAGACCACGGTTTCCAGATCATCCTCAGAAGCAGAATATAGGGCCCTTGCACATCTCACTTGTGAACTCCAATGGCTTCAATACATTGTTCATGATCTCCACATTCCCACACTTCAACCTGCATCAGTTTACTGTGATAACCAGGCAGCCATATATTTGGCTCACAATCCCACATTTCATGAAAGAAGCAAACACATTGAGATAGATTGCCATCTCACTAGGGAAAAGATTTTAACTGGTCTCATTCATTTACTTCCTATTTCGACCAAACACCAATTGGCAGACATTTTCACTAAGGCTTTACAACCATCTCAGTTCCAGCTTCTCATTGACAAGTTGGGGCTACTTGATATTCACCTTCCAACTTGAGGGGAGGGTATTACCATATCTGATATAACCATAGTTACTTGCTTTAACTATAGGTTATTTATCTAGTTCAGTTTTAGTTAGTTAGTTACTTTTCCCGCTTTCTTGTTTGACAGTAAGAGTATGCTATATATAGCAACTCTCATTTGTATTGTAGCTATCAAGATAATCGAGCCTTGTGATAATGAACAAGCTTTCTTTTTCTCTGTTCTATTTCTCTGCAACTTTCTCTGGTGTTTTCTGTTCTTTTGCTTTCTTGAGTAACAAAAATTATAAAACCTTTACTTCTTTCGTCGATTTCGTTCACGGGCCGTGTGGGGTAACTCACAATATCAAGTCCAATTAAAACAAGGAGTAAACACCCTTTTTAGTCCCTGTCAATATCTACGAAGTCCTTTTTAGTCCCTGACAATAAAAAAGGACCAAATTGGTCCCTGAAATTACAAAAAATGGGTCATGTTAGTCCTTATGTCAACTCCCAAATATGTAGAGTGACCCTACTTTCAGTGACCAATTTGGTCCTTTTTTATTGTCAGGGACTGAAAAGGACTTCGTAGATATTGTCAGGACTAAAAAGGGTGTTTACTCTAAAACAAGATACAGGTTCACACTTCACAATATCATTATCAGAACGTATTTAGTTAGTCATATATGATCTAGCCCAAACCAAATCATGTATGTGCTTTTACTTTCAAACCAGCTTTTTTATTTTTACAGACATGCATGCACATGATTAGCAAATAAATCAATCTACCTCGACAAGAATTCAAGAAAACATTCCCTACACTTCATGCAAGACTCAATTTTAAAGGAAGAAAAGAGAAAAAAAGGAAACGGGAAAGCGTAGATCCATGGAGAATTTTATCAACCAGCTTATGAAGTTCTCCACTGTAGCTCTATCTGGATGCGACCGTTCTTGGAGTCTATAAGATGGTATTTCTCATTGATCCTTTTGTTAGCAACAACATCCGCAAGACTGATGTCAGCGTAACCCAGTGATTCCTGGAACCGAAAGGAGAAGAAAACAATTAAACTCAAATCACATTAAAGTAACGTGAAAGGTAAATAACAAAACATTGCACACTTTTGGGATAAAGCCCTGCCGTTTTAGGAGAAAATATCCATGCAAGACAGGAATTAAGTAGACTGCAATACCAAAAAAGAGAGACAGAGAGAATTAACCCCCACCACCCACCCAAAATAAAATAAAATAAATTGCTGGTGCATATAAATTTTTATTTTTTCGCTAGGTAAAGCAAATCCAATGAATACTTCAGATTTCAGAAAAAAAAAAAGGCGCTCGATGAAGTATTCAGAAGCAAAACATGTGTAATTTGATAACTTTTGTCCAATATATATCTTACGTCCAATCAGCATGGAAGAGATCCTGCCCGTATCTCCCACAAAATCAAAATAACGTTCCTCTGATCTGAACTAAAGAAGTCAATTTCATATTCATTAAATTTTAGAAACATGATAACCAATCACCTTGCATCAAGCATTTATTTTGTTTTTATGGCTCGTTGCATCACATATTTCTATATTTGGATCTTAAATTACTAAAATGTTTGTGATAACCCACAATTATTTCAATTCCTTCCAACAATCAGAGGCTCCCTTACTCTCATTTTAGCAGATGAGACAGGTAAGCTCTCTGAAGGTTTACTGATGAAGAAGTTGTGAATTTTATACCTTCTGACGTAGCAAGTTTCGTGATGAAGTGCTGACAACCTCCATATGTACTTTGTCGTTAGTGGGAGGCTCCTCCACCATAAATTGGAACTCCTCTTCCCACCTTGGATCTCTGTTCTTTTTCATGGTCTTATAATAGTAAACGCAGTATCAGTATCATCTCATACAAAAACCAACTTCAGATCGAACGTAACATAAATATGTACTATTTCAACAGTATAATACTTTATTGGGATCCTGTACCTTAGTCTTTCTCTCTTCCCCTCTGAACATAAGACGTACATGTGGATTAGTGTGATGTTTTCCTTCAACGTCTAGAGCTTCGTGGACTATAACTACGAGCAGACCTCCACCAGCAGGAGTGCCTTCAGGAACTTTTTTAAATGAATGCGTCTCTTCGAAACCCTTGGCCAAGTCTTCCTCCCGGAAAGGTTTATATGTCAATTCAAGAACAATCTGCCCGCGGTTCTTCTCATTTTGGACATCGTTGGGATCCATGTTTTTAAGGAGGTCAAGAGTAAAACTTTTAGGTTCTTCAGGAGGAAGTTCTTTCAAAGGGATCATGTTCATACCCATCTTGTCATGCTTCCCAACCTAAGCAAAGATACAGAACAACGTTCAATTCAGATGCAGAACAAGAAACTTGAATATAAAACTTTCAGAAAAGGAGATACACCTGCTCCCAGTCATAAACATGAAGCTCTAAAACCTGGGACTCGGGATCTTTAACAACCAAATTAAATTCCTCATTCCATTCAGGGTTCAAGTTCTTGTGCTTCACAGTAGTCTTTTTCGACGGCAGGTTATCCCCGGTCAGCTTTAGCTTCACATAAGGGTCGGATGCACCAAGAAGATCTTTCTTCTGTAACTTCATTGCTTTCAGAACCTTTGCATTTAAAATTCCAACAGGCCTCTTCATGGCTCTAAGATTCCCAATAGAGTGTACAAGAAAAAACAGGAAAGAGTTAAAAATAATTACGAACATGTAATGAAAATATTTTTGAAAAATGTAAAAGCATACTTTGTTGGATCTATAATTTGAACTTCCAGGTTTTTGGGCCATAGATACATATTTGCAACCTGATCTTTGATAATCTCCTGAAAACAACACTCTTTAAAGTTTTAAAAGCCATAAATCTTTCAACCAACTCGTGATAGCTAAGAATAAAGAATAAAATAGCAATACCTAACTGACACCACCAGACCACTTTAATCTTCCAGAAGCAGCCCTAAATTTTTTCCCTCAAAGAACTGTGAAGTAACATAGAACAAACCCACAAACCATTCATCCTCTGACCTCTACACTACATTTTTTCTTCATGTTCACTTCTATTATAGCCATCAATTTTTAACATGTCTGTTACTATTTATTTAGCTACCAAATTTGTATAGGTCACATGCATACAGAACCTGAAATTATTCCATGATTAATGCTCTCAATCATCCTTCTACACGTAGGGGATTTTGCGCATAAACAGTACATACACAAACTTTGATGGTCAGCACTCTGCACTAAGAGAGTCTCGTATATTTTGAAAGGGAAATATGTCTCTTCAGCTACTGCAAAGATACTGTTTCGTGCAGCATTCACATGTTTTTCAGGATACAGAACCGTATCCTAAAAAACATATGTCAGCTAGAGATAATTTTTTTGCAGCAACAGGATATTAATAGAACCCATTTTGAAATATGATAAACTTGAGCAAATATTTGTACATTTCTACGGTAGGAGACTGTCTATTACACGGGGAGGTGACCACTGCTGCTTAAAGCGTAGAAGATGAATATAAGCAGCTTTCTCAAACACCAAAAATAGGAGAAAGAACGAAGAATTCAAAACAGAGAAAAAAAAATGCGGTCATGTACCTGAACAAACCTGTAGAGGCCAGGAATAGACATTAGATCAGCCCCTATAAGTTTTAGACCAAAATCAACATGTGGCTGCACAAAAAAATACGCCAAAGCAAAATAGAGAGAAGATAAGTATCATTTATAAAACCAGAAATGCAGCATGCAGTCCTCTTAAGTTCTACATCAACAGATGAGTCTTACAAGAATAATTGTCGAGTACATGTCAATCTTGGGCATAGAATATCCTCAAGATTCAAAATAAAAATAAATAATAAGTTAATTATGCGTAAGAGACAAAAAAAAAAAAAAAAAGGTTAGAAGTTCAAAATAATAAAAGTTTATCATAAAATGGCAATGATAACCTCGTAAAACATTATCATAGACATAAACCAAGATATTCCTACAACCACAAATCATTTACATCATTATATATAAGGAAGAAAACCACCTAAAAAATAATGTACAATCACCATTAAGTTTTCAGTGCTCGAACAACTAAAAGGGTAGGAAAACAAAGGTTATTTGAACCTGATCTCCTTGTTGACAAAAACTCAAAATTTGATTAATGATCATCACTTCTGTAGTCCAAGAGTCTGGCAAAACATTTTGGAAGTCACCTTTCGGTTTTAAAATGTTTAAAATACCAATGACTTTGATAGACAGTTTTGGTATACCAAGTGCAAGGGTTGTCTATGTCACTCAATTTATGAGGAAATATGTAATGAAAGTTTAAGCTTGTAAAGAACCGATTCAACCCAAAAGCTTAAGCTATTGGGTGAGACTACATTAATGATTTTATATATCTCAACACGCCCCCTCACACAAAAGCCCACTGGGCTTGAAGGGTGGACGATGCAAAGACCCACCTACTTGTGTGAAGAAAGAAATTCCACTAGAAAGAAAGTGGGGGGCGGTGAGGATCGAACCCGGTACACTGAGGCTCTGATACCATGTAAAGAACCAATTCACCCAAAAGCTTAATTGGTTCTTTACATGGTATCAGAGCCTCGGTGTACCGGGTTCGATCCTCATCGCCCCCCACTTTCTTTCTAGTGGAATTTCTTTCTTCGCACAGGTAGGTGGACCTGTACATCGTCCACCCTTCAAGTTCAGTGGGCTCTCGTGTAAGGGGACATGTTGAGATATATAAAACCATTAATGTAACCTCACCCAAAGCTTAAGTCTCGGTGTACTGGGTTCGATCCTCACTATCCCCTACTTTCTTTCTAGTGGAATTTCTTTCTTCGCACAGATAGGTGGACCTGTGCATTGTCCACCCTTCAAGCCCAGTGGGCTCTCGTATGAGAAGGCATATTGAGATATATAAAACCATTAATGTAACCTCACCCAAAGCTTAAGCTTTTGGGTTGAGTTGGTTCTTTACAAAGCCCAATTTCCAATGAGCCAGCAACAAAAGGTTGAGTAGAAGACCTTCCTATTTCAAGGACTTCATTATGGGCTGAAGGGAAGTAGATCCAAAAGAATTAGTTAATTCTTTTAGGGATTTTAAGCCTTTTTAATTACTTGCTAAGTCAAATTACAACTTAACAAATTATGAAATATAAATAGCCAGGTGCCCAGGTGGGCCTAGTAAAGAAGGCATGAATAGTTTCAGTAATCCTTCTTCCTCTTCTCCTTCCTCTCTCAAATACTCTTTTCTTGCTTCTTCCATTCCTTCCAATTCTGCTCTTACTACAAAATAAGAAGGAAATTGTGATTTCTACATATTGGTGGTCCTTAAATACAAAGTCTGGTATTCCTCACAAAGAAAAAAATGGGTCTGTGGTAAACTACATTCTTAAAATTTTCAAGACTAAATTGGGGACAAAATGGCAATTCAAATATACATGCAACAGAAGAAGACAGTTATATCCAGAATTTAACCATTTTCAATAGGAAGATCCTGCATTGCATTTGTATATCACTAGATCGAAATGAAAGAACTGTATTAGTTCCTCCTTCCCATTAAGAACTGAAATTCCTATCATCCATTAGATGGCTCCTTTCAACAGTAATACCAACCAGCAGTTACTCCTTTTGGTGTCAGAATCTGCACTTAAACATGGATACAGATGACCACAGCCAGTACAAAGCTATCAAATACTCCACTGCTTGTATCTTGCATATGTGAAAATGCTTTACATGTATTCAAGTGGTCAGTAGGAAAATAATAGACCTAACCGTCACAAACCTTTTCCATTAGAGACACATAGATGTTGGCAAAGCAAGGAAAGCTTGGTACCAAAGGTTTCAAAGTAATACGAGGTGCAAGAAAAACTTGCAAATCCACTACCTGAAAAAGATTCAAAATTCTCAGCATTCCTCCCACGTTGCTGCTCTTCCCACTCACTCACCGACACACACAAAATGATTTTTTGTACCTGAATAGTTGCTTTCAACCCAAATTTCTTAACTGCAATAGTGACATTAGGATTTCCAGCCCATTTTACAGAAGGCTCCATAATTAACTCCTTCTCATCAGTCGCATAAACTTTCATTCCTATCCAGAAGAAAATATGCATTCAACAAAAATTACTGAAAAAGTTCATATGCAAATTGCAAATAAGTTATCAAGAAATAAATCAATCCTATGCATATAAAACAGCACAGAAGCTACTTTCCTTTTTGACCAGAGATGAAAAACCTTTCCCAAAAAAATGTAATATATAAAAGGTGCCTCCGACAAGACAAGTGAAATCCAAAAGAGGATCTTATGGTAAAATGCATCATTTAATAGATCAAGGTTTCTTCAAACTCTAAACAGAATTTTATTCCGACTTGTCTCGTAAAGTTTAAGGAAAGTAGGACCGTGATAGATGTCAGTTTCAAACCTTAATATTTAACCAACGCATATTTATTTAATTAGTGATATTTGAGCAGTAGTCAGAAAATTGACGTGGAAAATGAGCCATATCTGAAGATATGTATTCTTCAAGGTGCTATATTGCTTTTTCTAACATCATCCAATCAAATGTTGGTTTGTTATCAAATTACCTTTACCAAAAAGCACAACTTATCTTTAGAGCCAACATTATTCACTTATAAATTGTGATCTCTACATCGCCTTAAAAACAATATAAACCGGGTGAAAATCGGATACTAATACAGTTTACACGGCATTGGCAATATCTTCATTCTCTGAGTAAACAACTAAAAGGTTCTTATCCAAGAATGCATCATGTCAAGATTAGCTAACCTTGAAAAGTTGGTGGCAGGGACCCCAGGGTGAGCACTTCGAACTCAACAGAATCAATTTTATATTTTGGGATCTGCTCAGCAATTATGGGTTTTGCAATGTTCTCTGCGGTCTTGCATATTGCCTAAATAAGAAAATAAAGCGCATACTCAAACAAACAGACTAGGAGAAGCAATAATCAAGATGTTAATCGAAAAGGGTTAAGAAATATCCAAAATATAAACCTTGTCAAGGTACGGCCACATATATTCAATAAGCTTGTTAAGCCAGTCAACCTTCAGAAGAAGACAAACAAATAATAGTGCAGTTGTCAAAACAAAACGAAAAGAAACAAGACTCATAGTGCATGGTAGCGAAGTGACGGATACCGGGTTTAGCAGTTGCTTACCCGATCGAAGTCTGGATTTTTTATCCAAAGTGGAATTTCAGGAATCATTCGTTGCAAAGTTTCTGCCTCTTCCTCCACCAATGGCTTGATTTCAGGATCCTGTCCAAGTCAGCAGGTATCAGTACTTAAACCACTGTACACAAAAATGCAGAGATTTCAAAGAATCACGAGACAAGTCACATACAATTTTCTTTCCTGATTGCCTAGTGTGTGTGTATATATATATATATATATATAGAGAGGGGCAAGATATTCTAACTACCGAAATCTTTCACTACTAACTTACTACCCATCACATTACCATTGGATCTCTCAAAAAGTTTTTGAAGAGAGAGAAAATGTTAATCTAATGGTGATTAGATAGGTAGTAAGTTGGTAGTAGAAAATTTTGGTAGTTAGAATATCCCTCCTCATATATATATATATAGAAAAACATTTTCGAAAAAAGTTTATCTCCGGCCATCCAAAACTACATCGTTTTTTATTTATTTATTTCCTTGTATTAATTGATTTACTTTTGAATGGTTATGATTTCTTTTTTCTCTCTTTTCCTTTATCACTATTGATCCTCACTATTGATCCATCTGTGAACGATCCATCTTTGTACTGTTATCTCAAGCAGCTTGATAAACAGCCCATATATATATATATATATATATATATATTAGGATTTTTACTTCACCTCATTTAAACCAGCTTCTTCTTCTTTTCTTTTTTAATCTAGTTTGAAGTTCCGCATACAAATAGAAATAGTGCTCCAGATTACACAGTGCAGCTGTTAAAGTCACAGTTTTCTAAATTCTAACAAGGCACATAATAAGAAACGAAGCATTATCATCTGCGATCCTAATTTACAAGAACTTGTTAGCTAGAAAGCACTGCTTAGTCCACAATCAACGAAACAAACAGAATCGGGCTCGTTGCATAATTTGTGACCTGAACATGCATCTGAATAATTCTGAAGAAAAGAGAACAGAATATAAAACATGATATAATTAAAATGTGTTAAGAATCAAGTTTTGTATCACGTACGTTAACATGGGAGGGTTGAACGTAAATGAATAGAAAATAGCCAGCAACAACACCAATGGAAATGCCAATTCCAAAGCCAAAAAACCCGAAAATGGTACTGAAGAAACCCATTTTCGATTATCAAATCTGTTTCCCCCACCGCTCGCAACTGATCACGATATCTCTCTCCTTCCTTCTAGTGAAAGTAAAACCATTTCACGAAAGCGTCACTTCCAATGTCTTAATTCGAGCTCTCCTCGGATCACCGTTAATACGTGTAATGGAAACCTATTTTGACCAAAAAATTAAAAAGACTAATTCTACGAAATAAACCGAAGCAATTGAGAAGTGACGGACCAAGAACGCAAATTATCACATAATTCTTATTATTACACTTTCTGTTTTTGTTTTAAATGTGTGCGTTTTTATATATTTGGTGAATGCCACACCACAAGACATTTTTAATATTTTTTAGGGTTACAATTTAATTTTTTTAAATTTTTTTGTAAATTACACTAGTTGATATAAAACCAGATTTACAACTCTATTTGACGTGAAATTTTTTTGATTGTTGTGTGTTGGTCGTGCAAAAGTAGATTAATTATTTAGAAAAATAATGTATTGGGAATTATTATAAGATGATATTTGGGGGTGCGCATGACAACCTTCCCGAAATCAATTCTTTTTTAATTTCTGTTCCCGAGAACAGAAATGGATAGAAAACTCGTTTGGTAAAACCGATTTATTTTTTTTGTTCCCGAGATGAACCAAATTGATTTTTGTGCTGGGGAACAGAAAAAAGAATCAGAAAATTTCTGCTTTTTTGTTCTCGGGCGCACAAAATGAGAAACATTTATCTCTCTTAATTCACTTTCCATCTCTACCATCATCACCACCACCATTATCATCCCAACACGACCACTGCCACCATTGTCGCCGCCATCGTCGTACCACTGGTGCTGTCGTGACCACCCTCACCACCACGATGCCACTGTCACCATCACCACCACCTCCACCCATGACTACCACCATGCCACCATCACCACCACCACAACTACCACCGCTGCAACCACCACCAACTGTCACTGTCACCACCACCATCACCACTACCGCCATCAACCACCACCATCATCATCGCAACCACTCCCGCCACCGTCACCATCAGCACACCACGCCACTATCACTGCCACCACTACCACCACCGCTACCATCACCATCACTGTCACCAACCACCACTATCATTGTTGCAGCCACCATCGACACTGCTGCCACCAACCACCACCCCCGCCACTACCACCACTGTCGCCGCCGCCACCGCCACCATCACCACCATCACTGTTACCTACCACCACCGCAGCCAATACCACCACCACCACCATCTCCATGATGCCATCACAACCACCACCACCACCACCATGTCACTGCTACCATTGTCGCCGCCACCAATGTCACAACCACCATTGTCGCAGCCACTGCTGTCATCTCCACCACCACCACCATCATGCCACTGCTACCATTGTCGCCGCCACCAATGTCACAACCACCATTGTTGCAGCCACTGCTGTCACCTCCACCACCACCACCGCCAACACTACCATCTCCACCACTATCATTGCTGCAGCCACCACCGCCACCGCCACCACCACCATCGTCACCATTACACCACCACTGCCACCATTACCACCACCACCACCATTGTCACCTACCGCCACCTGCAGCCACTGCCACCACCACCACCACCACGTCACTGCTACCATTGTCATCGCCACCAATGCCACCGACCACCATCCCCCCACCATTGTCGCAACCACTGCTACCACCGCCATCGTCGTAGCCATTGTCATCACAACCAGCACCACTATCATCACCACGTCACTGCCACCACCACCGCCGTACCGCCGCCGCCACCACCACCATGTCACCCCCGCCGTCGCCACCACCACCACAACCACACCATATGGAAAGGAAAGTGATGATCTAATTTTTTTTATATTTAATAGGAATTATTTTTTATTATATTATTTGTTGTGTTATCGAACACAATTCTCATTCTCGGAATAAAAATAGAACATGTTATCAAACACATTTTTTTTCTTAGAAACTGGTCCAAAGAACAGAAATAGAAAATAATTGTTTCTTTTCAGAAACAGTGCTAGGGAATAGAATGATTGTCATGCCCACAGAAAAGAATGGTTGTTTCTTTTGATATATTTTTATTTTATTTTTTTGTAAATTTATAATTTTGGCCTTAGCCATTTGGGTGATATTTTATTATTTTTTATAAGAAAGGTAAAATAGGCATATTTATTAACTTTTTAACTTTGTTAGTGAGAGACTTGGATGGAAAAAGAATACAGGGGAATAAATGATTAAAAAAACACAAAAAATGAGTGATTCAAAGGCAAACCACATAGGTATTTGAACTTTTCCCTTAATTATTCATATTCCACATCCTAATGTCATTTGCTATTTATTTACACCATATGTTTTTTAATCGATTTATTTATTTACTTATAAAATAAAATTTATTTCACTTTCATATCGTTATGTTATCTTCAAAAGTTGTTTCTCATATTTTAATAGTTATGTCAACAAGGTATTTAATTTTTTATTTATTCGAAGTCTAATTCCTTATATTTTTCAAAAAAAATCATCTTCTTCATTATTTAGTTATAAAATAAATAAGACTTGTATATCATCAAGCCTATTTTATTATCTAAGTTATGATCTTAAAAAAAATAGTTATTAAACATAAAGAACACACCACATTTTTTAAATCGCACTAAATCAATTTGTATATTTGAATTGAACAGTGAATCAAATATAACTGCAAATCGAACCAAATCGTATTGTATTAGTATTCAAACCAAAGCGTATATCTGAATCAGATAATATATCCGAATAGAATCAAACAAATACCAATATTTAAAGGTGATCTTTTGAAACTTTAACGAATTGATCACCTTAGGTTTGTGAAAAATTAAGGGAAGTGTATTGGAATGGAATTTCAAAGGAATTTAATGGATTATTTTTGGACAAAAAATCCATCTATTCGATTAGGATTTTAATGGATTGAAAAAAAAGTCACGTGGTATTCGATTAGGATTTTAAAAGATTATTTTAGAATCCGTCCAAATCCGTTGGTATTCAATTAGGATTATAAACAATGGAATCACAATCTCGTGGTATTCAAAAATGCGACAATTTTAATGGATATTCTATTGACGTGGATTTCGTGAGACTTTTTAGTGAAAAATATAGATAGGATGCCTCTCTCACAATCTCACCATAACCTCTAGAATTTCTTGAGATTTCTTTATTGCAGTGTTTTCTTCTTCTTTTGGCAGGTTGACCCGTTCGAAATCGGATTCCGCCATAGAAGCTTCATCAAAATTCAAAAATAACATATTTTTGAGCGATTTCATTACAAAACCCATAAACAACAAACCAACGAGATTTTTTAGTCTTTTTTTGAGAAATTTTGAAAGTTTAAAAAGTTATTTTTCAAGCTATGAGTCGCAGTTTTTCTTGACACAAAAGATGTGATTTTTGTATTAAAAACAATATAAATAGTGGAAAAATAATAAGGAACTTAAAACCCTCAAACCAATTTTCGTTTTACATCAATGAAACAATATGAATTTAAAGAAAGATTGAAACTTTCATAATATGAATCCTATATTTCGTAACAATACATTCATGAACGAAATTTCTTCACTATATGGAAGGATTTCAAACAATTTTTGTGTCAATAGATAACTAAAAAATTATTTTTCAAAAGCCCCAAAGCAATTTAAGATTTCAATGTATCGATTGAAAAAAATTTGAGAAATTTTTTAAACTTTCATATAATAAAATCCAAGAATTCAGATTTGAAATTTTCTTATGCATATGATATATGGTTATAAAACTCTTATCACATAGAACAAAAATTCAAAGGTTTTCAAGATCAATTGCAAAAAATTCCAAACAAAAATTTATCATGAACTTTAGGCTCTATATGCAAATTTAGAATTATTTTAATAATTAAAAAAATTGGGTTTTATAATCACATATGCATAGCTGTGATACCAAATGAAGAAGATAATTTTCAACTCATTGGTCAAACCCAAGAGCATGAACGAGAAAATGTTAATGCGTGGAGGACTGGTATAACTTTAGATATGTGAAGAGCTGTTGCTTAGTAATTTTGAATGTTTGTTAAAAATTATATTATGTTTTATTGATTGAGAAAACTATATTAGGTTTTATTTTTTTTAATTAATTTTATTGAATTTTTTGTTTATTTTTTTATTGACTATTGTAATTTTGAATGTTTGTTAAAAATTCATACGGATTTTTAAAATCTTATAAATTCAATTAAAATTCTTTAAAATCCAATCTTATGAAATCTTGATTGTAAAAAAAGTCTTTTGAAAAAGTCTCTAAAGTCTCTCCAATTCTAAAATGTCTTTTAAAATTTGTAAAAAGAATTATCTCAAAAAAAGTCTTTTAAATTCCTAATCCAATACACCCCTTGTGTTATTTTTTTATGAGAAATATTATACTTACAACCTATTTTTGTTTACAACCTTTTACGACCATATCTTAACCGTTGATTTCCGTCAATCAATGGTTATTATTTTCGCAAATCAAACTCATTAATTAATATTTAATTTGCAATATTGACGGAAATCAATTGTTAAGATATAGTTGTAAAATGTTGTAAACAAAAATAGGTTGTAAATATAATCTTCCCCTTTTGTATTGACTCTTGTAATTTTGAATGTTTGTTAAAAATTCATATGATTTTTTAAAATCTTATAAATCCATATTATCCTTTCAAATCTTATAAATTCTATTAAAATCATTTAAAATTCAATCTTATGAAATATTGATTGTAAAAAAAATCTTTAAAATCTCTCCAATTCTAAATAGTCTTTTAAAATCTATAAGATTTTTTAGTTCAAAAAAATATTTTAAAATCCTAATCCAATACACCCCTAAATAAAAATTATTGCTTTTTTTTTTTTGTAATCAAGAATTATTGCTTTAACTTTTACATCCCATTGCAAATAATAATTATTATGATTAATTTATTTTAAAATTACTTAAATGTTATTTTAAAACAGACGTCCACACATTTTATGTTATAATAATTAACTTTAGATATTTTAATATATATCAGTTTGATTTTTTTTCAATAAAAGTTAACTAAAGAAAATATTTGAAATTGAGACCTATAAATTTTGCTTTAACAGAAAAGAAGGGCATGTAAGTTATACAAAAAATTGATGAAATACACATAAATGAATTTATAATGTAATTTTGATTCTTGAAAGAGTACATTGGCATATTAAACAATTCAAGATAGGTTATCAAGAGAATGGATCGTGCAATCTCCGACGAGGATAATGTTTGTGCACATTGGATTGCTATTTTGAAACACAATTTATTCAGACACATCTTCTAGAGCTTGATATCCTTATAATTTATGGTGTAATAAAAGGTTACAAATTTTTGATTATTTGGTAATCAGTTATTTATTTTATGGGCATTATGTCCCTTACTTTAAAAATAAAAAATAAAAAAATTATCTTTTTCAAAAAAATAAAATAAAAAAATTCAAGGTCTTGGATGATTTAACAATAATGATATAAATTATTTTTAATTTACTTAAACTAATTGAATTATAAACAAAATTTAAATTCTATATCACATCTTACTAAAAAAAGTTATGTGATAATATTATAAGAAAAAAAAAGAATACTTTTATTATAATGAATTGACATTGTTATTAATTCCGTTAGACTTGTAATCTTTGGTATTTTAATATATTCAACAACAACTTTCAAATCTTAACAGATTTTGATAAAATAACATGGAGATTTATTTTACGGCCCTTGAGGGATGGCTTGGATACGCAAGTTACAGTATAAATTTTCGGTGTGATATGAAATACCGAAAACGACGTCACGTCGAGGGACAAAAGTGTACTCCGCCCCGCCACTACGCCACCGAGCGAGTTCACTCACTGTTTTAAAGAGTGACGTGAGATTGCCCCATCGACGGAATAAACATATAAATTGGCAAAGAAAGTTGCGTGCGTGTATAAAGTATTTCTCTGCCTTGTCTCTCTTCCTTTATTCTTCTTAGGGTTTTCACGCACCGCTTTCTTCTCTCTGTAGACTCTGCGTGATACAATTGCTGGCACCGGAGATTCTCAATTCATTACATCCTTGTTCCAAAACCTCATTCAATTAATAATTTAAGGGTTCCTACGAGTAGAAGTACCTACAGGGAATTTTTTCTTTAATTTTGGGGGGGTTTCGAATTAGGGTTTTCGCTGATTTAATTTAATCTTTTCTTTGAAGAAGAGAGATGCAACGGATTAATCGATCGAAGAGAGTGAGAGATTGGTGAGACAAATTAAGGGGTGGGTGGGTTTTTGTATGGAAACTCGGAGCCGGAAGCGGGCGGAGGCTTCCTCAGCTGCCCCATCGTCGTCGTCCACCGGTCGTTCTAGCAAGCGCGCTCGTGTTTCTTCCAATTCTTCTTCTTCTTCGATTCCCAACGCCACTGTTGCTGTCAACACTCGTTCTCGTTCGTCCAGGATTAACAACAACTCTGCTCCACCCATGGACCCCACCAACGAATCCTCTGGGTCGCGCCGTGATCGCCGGGGCAAGAATTTGGATAGGGAAAATCCCGATAAAGGGAAGGAGAAAGAACATGATGTTAAGATGAGGGATTTAGAGCGAGGGTTGGGGTTAAACATGGAAAGCGGAGGTGCTGGGGATGACGATGATAACGACAGTGAGGGTGGCGTGGGAATTTTGCATCAGAATTTGACGTCTGCGAGTAGTGCACTTCAAGGGCTTCTCCGGAAACTTGGTGCTGGTTTGGATGATCTGCTTCCGTCATCGGGTATGAGTGGTTCTGCATCGACATCTCACCAGAGTGGTAGGCTGAAGAAAATTTTGTCTGGGTTGCGGGCTGATGGGGAGGAAGGAAAGCAGGTTGAGGCATTGACGCAGCTTTGTGATATGCTTTCAATTGGCACTGAAGAATCCCTTAGTACATTCTCTGTTGATTCCTTCGTTCCTGTGCTCGTGGGGTTGCTTAATCATGAGAACAATCCTGATATCATGCTTCTCGCAGCCAGGGCCCTAACTCATCTCTGCGATGTGCTCCCTTCCTCTTGTGCTGCTGTTGTGCATTATGGTGCAGTGTCAATGTTCTGCGCAAGATTGCTTACCATAGAGTATATGGACTTAGCTGAGCAGGTTGTTTCCTAGTCAATCACTTTTACTTGATTAATTAATGTGTAGCTAAAAGGGTATGCATTTGTGTTTTAAGTAAGTTTAAAGATGACCTATCTGTCTGGATATGGGGTTCTTATTATTTGATAGTCCTTGTGGTGCTTTGCTTGATCCTGAATGCTGATACGTGTGATTGTTGACATGAACAGTCTCTTCAAGCTCTAAAGAAGATTTCTCAGGAGCACCCAACTGCCTGTCTTCGAGCTGGTGCACTGATGGCCGTGCTTTCTTATTTGGATTTCTTCTCAACAGGAGTTCAGGTAAGTCATTGATGAAGTCCCTGCATCTAGAGGATGAATGTAGTTTTCAACTGTCATAATTCTTTTTGTACTCAGTACCCTTTGTCAGTAATCCTATACTGACATAATTATATAATTCAGCGGGTGGCATTGTCTACTGCTGCAAATATGTGCAAGAAGCTTCCTTCTGATGCAGCTGACTTTGTGATGGAAGCTGTTCCTCTTTTGACAAACCTCCTTCAGTACCATGATTCCAAGGTAAGGGTGGCATATTTTGTTCTCATACTTGTCATATAACGGAAATTACATTTCCCTTGCTATTCCCTCACAGGAAATTTTTTCTGTGAAATCACGATCCGTAGAGCTGACTTTGGCAATTTTCTAGTTGTATCTTCGCAATATTGAATTTTTAATTTTGTAGGTCCTTGAACATGCCTCTGTCTGTTTGACTCGAATAGCCGAAGCATTTGCCTCATCTCCAGATAAATTAGATGAGTTGTGCAATCATGGACTGGTAACGCAAGCTGCCTCCCTCATTTCTACCAACAGTTCTGGTGGTGGACAGGCTTCTCTCAGCACGCCAACATATACTGTATGTGTAGTCTTTGGCTCTATGCTATTAAATCCAATATTTTTACCCGTGGTAGGTTTTACCTTTGACTTCATTGGCATATGCAGGGTTTAATCCGACTTCTTTCCACATGTGCAAGTGGGTCTCCTCTCGGAGCTAAAACGTTGCTTCTTCTTGGAATTAGTCGTATTCTTAAAGATATACTATCTGGTTCTGGAATTTCCTTTAATGCCTCTGTTTCCCCTGCACTGAGTAGGCCAGCAGAGCAGGTATAGCATAGCGTACTTTGGAGTTCTCTTGGTCAATTATTTGTAGTTTTATCTGTCTATGATTCATTCAATAGATTGTGAAATTAAACCCATCATTTAAATCCTTGAAAAATTTTCAGTTCTCTTCTGTTAAGAGATGAAGTTATTCTAATGCTCTTTTCCAATATATAGATATTTGAAATTGTGAATCTGGCAAATGAGCTTCTGCCTCCATTGCCACAAGGAACCATTTCCCTTCCAGTCAGCTCCAACTTGTTTGTGAAAGGGTCTGTTGTGAAAAAGTCTCCTGCAAGTAGTTCTGGGATACAAGAAGACACAAATGGAAATGTTCACGAGATGTCAGCTCGTGAGAAATTATTAAATGATCAGCCTGAGCTACTTCAGCAATTTGAGATGGATCTGCTTCCAGTTTTAATGCAGGTGCAATGTTGAAATTTTTTCCATAGTTAAAATGTTCAAATTTTACTTTGTAATTTTTTTATTCTTTTTGAAAAATTGGCTCTGTTTCCTTGACTTCCATGGCTGATTAATTGCATTGGCTTGCTTTTGTATCAGATATATGGTTCCAGTGTTAATGGTCCTGTTCGCCACAAATGTCTTTCTGTCATTGGAAAATTGATGTATTTCAGCACAGCTGAGATGATTCAGTCTTTGTTGAGTGTGACAAATATATCAAGGTATGTAGAAATTTTTATTTGGTTTCTATCACTGTATATTCTCAGTAGAAAACTCATGTATTGTCACTTTGATGATATAGTTTCTTAGCTGGCGTGTTGGCATGGAAAGATCCGCATGTTTTGGTTCCGGCATTGCAAATTGCGGAAATTCTTATGGAAAAGCTTCCTAGAACTTTCTCTAAGATGTTTGTCAGAGAAGGTGTGGTCCATGCAGTTGACCAACTTATTTTGGCTGGAAATTCAACCAATGTGTCTACACAAGCATCATCTGCCGAGAAGGATAATGATTCTGCATCTGGAACATTATCTCGCTCTCGGCGCTATCGCCTACGCAGTGGTAACTCAAATCCCGAGGCAAATCCTTTGGAAGATTTGAAGAGTCCAGTTCCAGTAAATGTTGGTTTGCCACCAAGTTCTGTAGAAACTCCGACTATTAATTCAAGTGTTCGTGTATCTGTCAGCTCAGCTGCTAGAGCTTTTAAAGATAAGTACTTTCCTTCTGATCCTGGGGCTGTTGAAGTGGGTGTTAGTGATGATCTTTTGCATCTGAAAAATCTTTGCATGAAGTTGAACACTGGTGTTGATGACCAAAGAACTAAGGCAAAGGGAAAAGTTAAAGCTTCTGGATTTGGTCTGGACAATAGTTCTACTAACATGGAAGAGTTTTTGATTGGGGTGATATCTGATATGCTAAAGGAACTTGGTAAAGGAGATGGTGTATCAACTTTTGAATTTATTGGTAGTGGTGTTGTTGCAGCTTTGCTGAACTATTTTTCATGTGGACATTTCTCTAAAGATCGAACCTCAGAAACCAATCTTCCTAAGCTTCGCCAACAAGCACTTACAAGGTTTAAGTCATTTGTAGCTGTTGCTCTACCTTCCAGTATTGACAATGGGGCTGTTGCTCCTATGACAGTCTTGGTTCAGAAGCTTCAAAATGCTTTGTCCTCCTTGGAACGTTTCCCTGTTGTGCTGAGTCATTCATCTCGGTCATCTAGTGGAAGTGCACGTCTTTCCTCTGGACTAGGTGCATTATCTCAGCCCTTCAAGTTGCGTCTGTGTCGAGCCCAAGGTGAAAAGTCACTTAGGGATTATTCATCCAATGTTGTACTGATTGATCCATTAGCAAGTTTAGCTGCCATTGAGGAATTTCTCTGGCCCCGTATCCAGCGTGGTGAATCTGGTCAAAAGGCTGCTGTAGCAACTGAGAATTCCGAGTCTGGAACAACTCCTACTGGAGCAGGTGTTTCATCTCCTCCAACTTATACTCCCTCCACTACCCGTCGGCATTCTACCAGATCCAGATCATCTGTTAATATAGGAGATACACCTAGAAAAGAAACATCTCAAGATAAAAACATGAGCTCATCTAAGGGAAAGGGCAAAGCTGTTTTGAAGCCTGCACAGGAGGAAGCAAAAGGACCCCAAACAAGGAACGCTGCACGCAGAAGAGCAGCTATTGATAAAGATGCTCAAATGAAACCTGAAAATGGTGACTCAACTTCTGAGGTGTGCTGCTGAATTCTCGGAATTAGTCATGAAAATTGAATAATTTAATCCAAATTGGTTTATAACATTGAATTATTTAATCTTTGTTGCATTCTGTTTATGCTTTTGCTTCTTCTCTCTTGTTAGATATAAAAACCATTTATGAGTCTTCATCTTACAGATTAAGCTTTTAGGAAAGTTGGTTCTTGACATGGAATAGAGCCTCTATGTCCAAATGGTCAGGAGTTTGATTCCTGCCACCTCCATTCTTCTAAATAAAAGTTGAATTTTAGCACAAGGTAGGGTGGGAATGTGTAGTGTCCACACTTTAAGCCCAAAGTGCTCTTGCGTGGGGGGCTAGATTAGATTTAAAAACCACTCATGAACCTTCACCTAACAACTTAAGCTTTTGGGAGAGTTGAATTTTGCTTACTTTGACCACTTATGAAGGTAGTAGATGTGGGTGGAAGATCTGACTGTATATTGTCAGCCTTTTTTTAATGGAGAGATAATTAACAGTCTCATTTTAATAGACCTAAACATGGTATGTTTCATTTTGCATGACCAACTTATGAAGAGTTTCTGCAATGCAGAGTTATCAGAGAGTATTATCTTCCTGAAATCACTATATTTTGTTGTCATTTGATCATGCAAATGATTTACCTCTGCAATTTTGTTTTATAAATGGCTGTTAGTTATTGTTGAGATATATAGTCTCACATTGGTTGTATGAGCAACTAATGTTGAGTTTATAAGGCCTTGGGCACTCTCACCCTTTGAGCTAGCTTTTGGGGTGGTGTATCCCAAGGTTCTTTACAGTTATAATCACCTAACTTATATGCATCCAGTTTCTTATATATCTACCCTAAGCCCTCCTTTGAGCATTTTGCTGAGTTGTTAACTTTTTTCCATGATTGATTTTTTTATATTTTTGTGCTAAAGTTTAGTCGATGCCTTTAATAGATGGTGGCTTTTACTGGTTTGGATTAAAATGATGTTTTTATTTGATGTGTCAACTTTAGTGTCTTATTATGAGCTGTGGCTTTTTCTGTTTAAGTCCTTTCTATCCTTTGACATTATTTTCCATTGCTTTTGTCGTGTAGGATGAAGAATTGGATATATCTCCTGTTGAGATTGATGAGGCTTTGGTGCTTGAAGATGATGATATTTCTGATGACGATGACGACGACGACCATGAAGATGTATGTTTCTTCTTCTGCTAAGATTTTATCTTACTGTCTTAGTGATTCTTTTATCAGTGTCTCATTTAGACAATTAGGAGTTCTGTTAGCATCTTCTTTGCTTTTCTGTCCTATCTATTTCTTTTACTTCAGATTTAATGCGACTTTTGATTTGTTAAATTTCTGGGTGGATTTGGATTTTTATTATCTCTAGTCTCTACTTCCAGTGATGTCGTTCTTCTATCTTCTTCTTTGAAAAGTTTTATCAGACATAAATGCTATAATTGTAGCTATTAATTTTAGCAATCATCCTTATCATTATCATTAGTTATTGTTGCCAAGATTGAAAACTAACATTTTGGTATTGCATCCCTTCCCACACTTTAGTTTTATCAAACAGAAATGCCAGGATTTTTTTTTATTACATATTTTAATAATCACCATATAATCATGGTTAATTTTTGTTTACCAAGATTGGATACTATCATTTAGTTCAGCTCCATGCTGTTAGCAAACCTCCAATAAAAAAGGTGTATATTAGAAAGTACAAGGGTGAGTGCCGCAGATTAGAACCAAATTCTGTTATCAACAACTGTCTAATTGACAGCTAACAGAATATGATCTCAATGGATGGAAGTAGGATGTGGTGTCAATTGAAAAGGGGAGTTTTTTTGTGTGGAACAAAAGATGGGGAGAGCCACAACTCTCGACATTCTGGAAGCTGTGTTAGAGTAGCTGATTCATTGTTATTCCTCGTAATTCCTTTGTGCAGTTCACACTCTATCCTTGATTCTATTTCAGATTGATTCAGATTCAGGGAGAGGAGGGTCCATCAATAATATTCATTTTCCCATTTTCAATCAGATCAAGTTTCTATTATGTTGAAATTATAGGGATTTAAGTAGAGGAGGGAAAGAGAGAGCTACTTTGAATAGTAGAATATAATATTGATATATGGTGAGCAATATAAGAGAAGATCTAAGAAAATAAATTACTCTAAAGCTACAATGAAGTTATTATGTGATATTTTTCATATATTCTGACATATTACATCCATATTTGCAATTGAATTTCATCATACAGAAATGTTATTATTGTTTCTTATATATCTTAATAACCACCAGATAATGCACCCTCAGCTTGTTTTAATTTTATTGATACAGGTGCTGAGGGATGATTCTCTTCCTGTTTGCTTGCCTGACAAAGTACATGATGTGAAGTTGGGTGACTCAACTGAGGAGAGTACTGTTGCTCCAACAACAAGTGATAGCCAGACTAATGCAGCCTCAGGTTCTAGCAGCAAAGTTGGTACAGGCAGGGGATCTGACTCTGTTGATTTTAGGAGTGGCTATTCTTCTGGCTCAAGGGGTGCAATGTCATTTGCTGCTGCTGCTATGGCTGGACTTGGATATGCTAATAGCAGAGGTTTCAGGGGTGGCAGAGATAGGCATGGGCGCCTGTTGTTTGGCAGTTCTAATGATCCTCCAAAGTTGATTTTTACTGCTGGTGGGAAGCAGCTTAATAGGCATTTGACTATATATCAGGCAATTCAAAGACAGCTTGTGCTAGATGAAGATGATGATGAGAGGCTTGCTGGCAGTGACTATGTATCCAGTGAGGGAAGTAGTCTGTGGGGTGATATTTACACCATCACTTATCAGAGGGCGGAAAACCAGACAGATAAGGCCCCTACTGGAGGATCAAGTTCAAATACTGCAAAATCTGCCAAATCTGGGTCTGCCTCAAATTCCAGTTCTGAAGCTAAGTTGCATCAAACATCTGTTCTAGACAGTATAGTGCAGGGAGAATTGCCCTGTGATCTGGAAAAATCTAATCCTACCTACAATATTTTGGCCCTACTGCGTGTGCTGGAGGGTTTGAACCATCTTGCGCCTCGTTTGAGGGCCCAGGTGGTTTCTGATAGCTTTGCTGAGGGAAAAGTCTTGGATTTAGATGAGCTAGGTATTACCACCGGTGCTAGGGTGCTTCCGGAGGAATTCATAAGTAGCAAGCTTACCCCAAAATTGGCTAGGCAAATACAAGATGCCCTTGCGCTATGCAGTGGGAGTCTTCCCTTGTGGTGTTACCAGTTGACTAAAGCATGCCCTTTCTTGTTTCCTTTTGAGACCCGGCGGCAGTACTTTTATTCAACTGCCTTTGGGTTATCTCGTGCACTGTATCGACTTCAGCAGCTGCAGGGTGCGGATGGTGTTGGTTCAACTAATGAAAGAGAGATGAGAGTTGGGAGGTTGCAGCGCCAAAAGGTTCGTGTCTCTCGAAATCGCATTTTGGATTCTGCTACAAAAGTTATGGAGATGTATTCTAGCCAAAAAGCTGTACTTGAAGTAGAATACTTTGGTGAAGTTGGCACTGGCCTGGGTCCCACCCTTGAGTTTTATACAATCCTAAGTCATGACTTGCAAAAAGTTGGACTACAAATGTGGAGATCTTGTTCTTCAGAGAAACATCAAATGGAAATTGATGGAGATGAAAAGAAAATGAAAAGCCGTGAAGGCTCTGGACCTAATTTGGCTGGAGATGGAGAGCTTGTTCAATCTCCTCTCGGGTTGCTTGTTCAATCTCCTCTCGGGTTGTTTCCTCAGCCTTGGCCTTCAAATGCTGATGCATCAGAGGGTAGCCAGTTTTCAAAAGTGGTTGAGTATTTTCGGTTGTTAGGCCGTGTTATGGCTAAAGCTCTTCAAGATGGACGACTATTGGATCTGCCATTGTCTGTGGCATTTTATAAGCTTGTTCTTGGTCAAGTATGTTATGTAATATTGATGTGTTATGTGTATAGTTAATCTGAAGGCCAATTTATTCTATTTTATATATCTAACAGTCAATTTGTTGCAGGATCTTGATTTGCATGACATTCTTTTCATTGATGCTGAGCTTGGGAAGACTTTGCAAGAGTTGAATGCCCTTGTTTGTAGGAGACATTATATAGAATCTATTGGTGGTAACAATACTGATACAATTACAAACCTATATTTTCGTGGCACCCCAATTGTAGATCTCTGCTTGGATTTTACACTTCCTGGTTATCCCGAATACATCTTGAAACCAGGAGATGAAATTGTATGCAGTTAAACCCTGAGCCACTCTATAGATTTTGGTTGTTGTGTTATTAAATTTCTTTTAACTTCCTGTTGAATTTTCAGGTTGATGTCAACAATGTAGAGGATTACATATCCTTGGTGGTTGATGCAACTGTAAAGACTGGAATCATGCGTCAAATGGAAGCATTTAGAGCAGGGTTTAACCAGGTTGTATGTCTGTCTTAATTAGTTCATTTATCTTAAAGCATGCACACAAGAGGCGCCGAGCCTGGAGCAGTGATAAAACTGCTCATTTGTGATTGAAAGGTCACGGGCTTAAATCCGAAAAACATCTTTGCAAATATGTAAGGTTAAGGCTGCATGCATACTCGCTAGTCTGGTTTAATGGGGAATGGTTTATTTTATTTATTTATTTATTTATCTTAAAGCATGCACCTTGATTGCAAAATCCGGATATTCATAATACTGAAATCTTATCCTTCTGCTTTAGTTCCTGAGTTTTTGAATTAGAGCTTTTGAGTTTACCTGATGCATTACGTTTGTTTGGTAACATATCATTGAGATTCTTAAGGGGTGTTCCGTTTCACTGGAAGTTATAAATGTTTTAGTGATATCCGAAATGTTTTAGTACTTATCTAGCCTCGATCTCATGCTTGAATATTTCATTTGGGAGGTTACAAAATGTATATTCCTGTTCTTTAACTTATATTGGTACCCGAATGCCAACCCTACATTCCCTGCACAAAAAAGAAATTGCAATATTCAGTTATTGGATATCAAAATTTGATATTCTGAAGATTTTGTTTGTGAAATGAGTGGGTGATGATGGTTATGCTGGCCTCTCTTTTGTGGATGAGAGGAGCAGGACATTGTTGGTGGGACAAGTAGGATGAAATTTTACTCATTTTATTAGTTCAGAACTATACTAAACATCAGTCACCTGCACACGTTCAATGCAGGTTTTTGACATCTCATCTTTACAAATTTTTACTCCCCAAGAACTGGACAATTTGCTTTGTGGCCGCAGAGAGTTGTGGGAGGTAATTTTTTCCCAAATATATTATTGCTTTTAAACAATAAATAAATTTTACAACAGGACATTATAATCACGAGTTTTTTGTTAAAAAAATTCTGCAGGCGGAGACACTTGCTGATCATATAAAATTTGACCATGGGTACACTGCAAAGAGCCCTGCCATTGTTAATGTATGATTCTTTTCCCAATCAATTATAAGGACTATTACATATTATTTAAAACTTGGGTTAGTTATATGCAATGCTTGTCATGTTGGCTGCTATTTTCAGTTACTTGAAATTATGGGAGAGTTCACACCGGAGCAGCAGCGTGCCTTCTGTCAATTTGTTACTGGTGCACCTAGGCTGCCACCTGGTGGGCTGGCAGTTCTAAATCCAAAACTAACGATTGTGAGGAAGGTATGGAAATATATTTTTGATATCTTTATCGTGTACTTGATGTTTACTTTTCGTATATTATTTTCTTGTTTTTCTTTGCATGTTAGGATTTGATGTTACATCTGGATTAATGGCATTGTTTTACATGTCTGGGTGCAGCTTTCGTCAACTGCAGTTAATACATCATCTAATGGAAATGGGCCTTCAGAACCAGCAGATGATGACTTGCCTAGTGTGATGACATGCGCTAATTACCTGAAGCTTCCTCCTTACTCTACCAAGGTACTGTAATACGGCGTGAAGGGAAATGATTTTCGCATAAAATGTCTTCATACCATTCCTTACACCTTGTTTGGGGATAAAGATATATTGTTGGAATGTGTGTTACGATAGTGTAATGATAGCTAATGAAATCGGTGTGAAAATAAAAATTTTGTAACATAAATTGTTCATTAAATTATCATTCATGTCCAAGCGTATTGATTACTTATGCTATTGCATATTTTGGTACTGATTATTGATGTCCAATTTAAAACAGGAAATTATGTACAAGAAGCTACTTTATGCAATCAGTGAAGGCCAGGGATCCTTTGATTTATCTTGAGTTTCTTGAACTAACCAACCTAACCCTGTATATTAAGTAGATGGAATCAGGGTTTATTCTCGAGGCTCAATTATTTGTTGGTTGCATGTACTGTCCTCCTCGCTTCTCAGATAATGGTCTCACTTTGGGTGCTCGATGCAAAGTAGTGGCATAGTTCAGGTCAGTTGACCCTTTTTGTCATTAAGATTGGATCTCTCTGTTCTCATAAATCATATTCTTTCTGCTGCAGCATGTAAACCATTTATTTTTCCCTAGGTAGCTCGTACGCCCTTCTGTTATTCTTCCTTTTTTTGTTTTTGACAAACTAATAAGGATTTCTTCCGTACATGGCAGTTGAATCGGGTCGCCACATTTCCAAGGTGTAAGGGAATTTAAGGAGTTATTTTTTAATTTTAGCTCTTAGGACGTGTAAATAAAATAGGAATGTTGAAATTTTGATTTTCTATTTTTAAAATTTTTCATTATTCCGTTTAAGTCAAATTATTGCAGTTATCATGTAAGAAAATTTGATAAAGAGAAGAGAAATAATTTGAAATATTATGCTTTATGATCTCATTATGTTATGAGTTCTGAAATGTGGAAATCCAATGTGGTAAAATTTTGTCTATTTCACAACGAGGAAGTTATCCACGGATATAAATTGTGATATGAAGCATTATAATATTGATTTCTCTGTGTGTTGATCTGATTGATCTACTTTTATTTATATATTAATTAGAGAAATCCCCTTATGGCTTATTCTTTATTTTTTTAAAGAATGATTAAAAAAAATGAGGTTCAAATGTTTTTGAATTAATTATGTATATTTTTTTTTTAGTTTTTAAATATATTTTTAAATTCTTTTCTAAATTTAAAATTGTTTACATGATTTAAGTTGTATTTTCTAATCAAATTACAAGGACTTAATGTGATTGTGTACCAAGTAATAAATTCAATGCTTGTTTATTTGGGTTTTGCTCGTCCGAACATGTGATTTCTACGGTAAGTAATGTTTGGAGCAAATTTTAGCAATGATTATACAAAAAATATTTTTGCAGTTAATATAGATAAGTTATTTGCGTTTATTTTCAAAATAACGTTTTGGGATTGAAAAATTAAAAAATTATAATTATAAAGATTATAATAATTTTAAAATAAATTAAAATTATAAAATCACCATGATATTCGTCTCAAAATGATGTTATATTAGGCTTATTACAAATAATTTCTTTGCATTAACTGCAGAAAAAACGAACCAATTACTATTTTCCCCATACATCTACTACTAACGGTAAAAAAAATCAGTTAGTTTGGTGCTTCGATATTATTTTGGTACAAATATTTAAATAAACTTGTATCTTAATAATTTTAGTTAAACGTATGTCATTTTGTTATCTTTTTATGAAAAAAATAATAATAATGAGTTTTGCTGTTCAACATTCATTATATGTTTTCTTCCTTTTAAGACATCTCTTACATTATTTTAATCATTTTCTTGTCTTTTATTCTCTATAATTTTCCTCTCCAGTTTTTTGGGCAAACATGAATGTGTCCTTTTTTTCTGGTCTAGTAAGTATGTATAATTTAAGGGTTCATTTAATCTTATGTTGAAGGAGAGATCTTCTCTCATGTTGTGACACATATGTGGTGGGACCCGCCATTTAAAAAAAAGAAAAATGAATGTCACGATTTTCGATGAGTGTGTAAGAGGTAAAATTACTCTTATACAACATAAGAATAGTTTTTGCCATAGGTTAACATTTAGTCCGAACAAGAATATAAACAATGGGCTTTATTTTTATTATGTTACATAACATAAAATTATCTTCCTACACACACAAATTTTATATGGGATCCACTTTAAATTTTTTTCTCTTTTTTCTATTCTCTCTCCTCTCTCTTCCTTTTGTGAGAGTAGGAAGTTTGTTCTTATGTTATGTTATATAACAAAAACATTTCTCATAAGAGAGAATTTAATATTTAGTGTGCGATATCGGCTTCGGATAAAGTCGTTTAATTATTAAAAAATAAGAGAGAATTTAAAATCTTTCGGTCCCCGATATCCAAAATTTTCAAAAAGTAATAACTGTTTTTTAAGTGCATTCGCACTTCTATATCTATAAGAAAAACGAGTACAATACTTAAAACTAAAATCAGGTTTCAATTTAATATTTCTATAATTAGAAATCATTTCGAAAATTTGAAAATATAATTAGCTGTATTGCTTCGGTTTTAGTTGGGCTGAGACAACTGTTGATAAGATTGGCATGTTCGATTGTATTCTGATTTTTTTATTTTTAAAATTATTTTGTAAAATAGTTACAAAATCAGATGTTTTTTGTTTTTTTTGTTTTGAAAATTGAAATTTAAGACGCAAAACAAAAATAATACGTACATATTCTCTAAATTTGATTCTAAAAATAAAAAAAATAATTATAATTTTAAATTTAAATTTTTTTTATACAAAACAGGCTATATCAAACGGTTTTTATTTTTATTTTTTTGTTCTAAAAAACCAAAAAGCTGTTTTTAAAAATAATATTAAAACAGAGCAAATATTTCTTTTATTGCTGGATAAATTTGGTGGAGTCAAGTCGGATCAAAAGGATAATTCAAATTTAATATAATTGATAAAGTTATAACAATTTCGTATTAGTTGATCAACTTATTTAGTAATAACAACCATATTTTCATCTCCATACTTTAATAAAGAAAACATATAATCTTTACTCTCACTTTTATTAAAAAATTTAGAAAAGCTTGTTTATTTATTTATCTAACAACTTGGTAAAACATACGACGTTATAAAATTATCAGGTTATATTTTGAAAAAAAAAAAACTACTCTTTTTATTTTTCTTATTCTTTCTCTCTCTATAAATTTTCTTTTTAACTTTGTAATTCATTACTTCTAAGTTCTAATAATCAAAAGATGTGGGGGGGGGGGGGGGGGGGGGGGGGGGGGGGGGGGGAAGGCAGTTTTTATCCTACCCTTAATCTATTTTGAAAATACATTGCAAATGATTTTTCCTATAAATTTTATTTTATTTTTCGTAAATCACCAAAAATCTCGATTTTTAATTCACTCTTAAATAAGGTACTACGAATGCACTAATAATCAAGATTTCATAAGATTGGATTTTAAAGGATTTTAATAGAATTTATACGATTTTAAATGACAATATAGATTTATAATATTTTAAAAAATGAATTTTTAATAAACATTCAAAATTACAAGGGTCAATAAAAAAATAACAAAGAAATGCAATGATATTAATAAAAAAAATCTAATATAATTTTCTCAATCAGTAAAATTCATGATAAAATTTCGTTTAAATTTTTTTTTAATTGATGTTGTAAACCTTACTAATAGCTTGAAAAATTATTTTTTAAATTTTCAAAAAATCTAAAAAATCTGCTGTTTTGAGATGAATTAAATTAAAATTTTGTTGAGTTTGTTGTTTTTAGGTTGTTTTGTGATGAAAATTGCTCAAAAATATGCTATTTTTGAGCTTTGACGAAGCTCCCATAGCGGAACCTGATTTCGAGTGGGTCGACCCGTCAAAGGAAGAAGAAGACACTGCAAAAGAGAAATCTCAAGAAACCCTAAGGGTTAGGATGAGATTGTGAAAGAGACATCCTATTTATATTTCTCACTAAAAAGTCTCACGAAATTCAAATTAGTCCATTAAAATTTTTAGAAATCTCAATCCAATACATTTCCTAAATCAAAATATAATTACTACTTGACATATTATCCCATATATAACTTCTAACCTTACTAGCAATCAAACAACCAACATGGAATGTTCCTCCACCCCCCGCAAAAGTCAAAAAATAAAAATAAAAAACAAAAAATGGCAAAAAAGCAGAAGCCAATTTTTTTTATTTTTTTATTGATTCCGAAGGGATAACAGTTGATATATAATATGGACGTTTGGTAGAGGTTTTAGTTGTAGATGCTCATGTAACCTCACTGGTATTCTCTCTTGACCATGTTTGGTACAAGAGCTAAAGAAATATAACCAGGCAAATCTTTTGTCCAGCATTTTGGTTTCTTTGCAAAATTTGAAGGAATTTATTGTTCCAGAAAATCACTTGCGATGTATTTTGGGATTTGCTCGGAAATGGAGAAAATGAGCGCAAAATGGAGACAAAAATGACCCTGAGATGTACGGTTGTCATCAGTCTCTTTCCTTTATTTGAGATTCAAAAATTAAAGGGTTACTTTTGTAATTTTAACCCATTTTCCATCAATATTTTATCTTTAACCAAATATAGACTTAGAAAACTTAATTTTTTCGGTAATATTTCGCTCTACCAATCAACTTTTTTTCAACTTTATCAACAAATTTACTTTTTCATCATTTCTCTAGTAATTATATTTACTTGGTTAAAAATAATTTCTCCTCTACCATACACGCGTGATACCTCTAGATGTTCTTACCGCAAACAAGTGAGAAAAAACCAGTCAAATAAAATAAAAAGTTGATGGTCTAAACTATTAAACCAAAGCTTCATCAAATATATCACAAGACAATGATGTTTGATCACCTAATTTTAAATTTTTTAGAATTCAAATTGTATATAAAATTTGTTCAAACTAGTTTATTTAAAATTTAAAGGGATTTCCCCCACCAAAATAAATAAATTAAAGGGATTCATTCAAATTAAGTCCTGCTATGATATGTATTTATTTTTATTTTTTAGAAAGTGAATTAAAGATTGCACAATAACACTCCTAATAATAAATTATTATTTTTTGAAAATAAAAAAAAGTTTCTTTTAATATATATTTTTTATATTATGTGAGCGAAAAAATTAAGAGAAACTGATATGGACGCGAAGCTGATCATAAAATGAATCCTTTAAATTTTTTAAATACAAAATACAATGACATTTTGATTTTTGAGCTTCTGGACTGTTCTACTTGGCCAATGAAACCACCATCTCTAGAAGGAACACCTGACTTGGATAGCAAGTGTCTTCACCAAACTTGGGCAAGCATCACCACCTTTCTTTGTGAAGAGTGCACGGTCCAATGCAACCGAGCAAGCTTCTTTACCCAAGCATTGCTGCTCAAAGCCAAGCCACACCAAAAATGTTAACACCATAACATATATATACATATGTATGTATGTATGTATCTGTGTGTGTTGTATGTATTAATTGAAAAAGAAAAAAGAGTTTTATTTGTTTGCAAAGAAATGATATACCTTCTCAACAATCTTCTTGGCAGCAGGTGCAGTGCAGTTACCCAAAGCAAAGCTTCCACAATAACCTGAAGGATTACCAAAGCTTGCAAACTCCACAGCAACAATCTTTTTTCTGTTAGCACACTTGAGTGAAGCTTGTGGTTTAACCTTATCCACAACAGCACGGAACTGACCGTGACTAGATACCCATGAATTCACATTGGCAGGATCGTTCTCTGCAATGAAACTGCAGATTGTATCTCTGTCAACAGTTAGGATCTCAACCTTTTCTGGACTTAAATTCTCCTCTTCCAATACAACAAGGAAATTGTCTTTTTGGTTGAGGTAAGCTCTTGGGATATGGTACCTGGTGATGATGATGATGATAAAGTAACAAATTTTAAATGGACCCATAAACAGAAAGAAACAAAAGTGAAGAACTTGATTATTTGTTTTTTATTTGGATAGAAACTCAAAAAACTTACTCTGACTGAGTAGGCTTTCCTTGAGGAGAGAGGAAGTTCATCCAGTGACGACCAATGCTTTTACCGTTGACCCAAATCATTCCTTTCCCCATACCATTCATCCTGATGGCAACAGGATCCCTTCCCTCTGGTGTGTCAAATCTTGTCTGTAAAATGAATCCATATTATTAAAAAGGTCAAAAAGAATGAAGGAATTTGGAAGTGTGTGCTTTTCAATCTTGTCCAAAAAAAAAAAAAAAAAAAAAAAATTGACTAGAGTTTGATCCAATATCTGTCCATGTCCTAAAAAATTACTATATTTCTTACCCTATACCAGGAGAGAGGCCTTGCAGGTCCATTTACTGGCCTCCACTTCACCTTGTTTGATCCTTCCTCAGTGAAAATTTCAAGTTGTTCACCTTTGAGAGCAACCTGCAAATTAAAATGGAGCCAATTCAGTTATGTCATTGTCATTGCCATCAATTGAATAGAGATTTTAGTATCCATCTTTTCAGATCTTTTATCCCAAGCAGTGTCTTGTTGACAGATTAGTACCTGATGACCCCAACCGTTCTGAGACAGATCAATTGTTCCAGTGTTGAGACCAAGAATATGAATGGACTTGGGTCCCGCGTATCTGTGTTCCATGTATGCTCCACTGTCCTGTATATTTATTAAACAATGTTGTTTTCCTCATTAAAACTTGAATTTCTTCAAATCTGTAAGAATGAAAAAGTTGAGGCTCTTACCGGTAATCCAACTGTAGCACCCAAGATGGATATACTGTTGGTTCCGACCTTGAAGAACTTTACAACTTTCTCGAACTCAAAAGATTTCTCTTCATGGGTACCATGATCAGATCCTTACAACAATCAAGAAAAATGCAATTATATTAATATCCACCCGGTCTCTCCCTAATCATGGAAGAGTGACACTTTTCTATGAATCTATCTATATGCATTTGAACCTAAATCCATATTTCGAAGGCTAATGAAACAGCATTGAAATTTGTGTGCTTACCAATGTATTTTCCATTTACAAATGCAAGCAGTGAATGTCCAAGACTCATAATGCGAATAACTGGGAATACCCCTTTCTTCATTGCCATGTCTTCTTGAGTCAACTCGAAGCTGCAGTAAATAATTCACGAGTCTGAGTCTGCACTTTAAATAAATTGAATCCTCAGAAGCTCACAAGTCACCACGGAAGATAAACTCACCTGGTGGTGAACCATGCATAATCTGTGGTGTCTTTAAGCAAACCGTAAAGCTCTGCAGGAAGTTTCTCCTTTGGTGGCAGTTTCTTGGTAGTTGGAATGCTCTCAGAAAATACCTCCCAGTGATGATTGTTTGCACGGGTTGACCTCCTGTAGTTCCTTGAATTGTGTTGTGAAACAATCTGTTTTTTATTTTGGCAATGGGAAACAGTTAATCATAAAAGAGTAAGGATTAAACCCAAGAATGCGAATTCTCTGCTTGTAAATTGAAATATAAGGGATAAACAAATTACACTTTGAGTGTTGAAGACCACAGTCTTGCAATCAGGGAGGATGCTAATGGAATGTGGGGGCAAAAAGTAGTCTACACCTCTGAAATTAATGGTGGCTGGCAAGGTGGTGTGGTTGTTAGTGATGAAAGCAGCACATATTTTAGATGAAGGCCTCTCGAAGACTCTAATCTGCATAGTATATAATAGCAGCTTAGCTTAGCTTAGCTTAATAATAATATGATAACATCAGTCTCGTTGGAATGGGAATTATGGGAAAGCCGTGTGAGATGCTTACCTCATGAAAATTGTTCAGCTTTTGAACTTTGGGATTATCACTGAGTAGAGCCTTCCTACATAGGAGCAGAGCCTTGTGGCCGTCCCTCAGGTGACTCCATTTTGGTTCTCTCTGCAGACCGAATTCATCAAGAGGTGCCTCATCGTAATAACGGGTTGTGGTAAAGGCAGCGCTTGTTCTGCCAAAATTTGTGCCACCATGGTACTACAAGAGTTGAAGATTGAGTTAGAAAATAAAAATGGGGCCATTAGTAACATTAATAGAAAGTTTGGATGATGAGGCCAGCACCATATAGTAGTTGACCAAATTTCCCTCCTTGGAGAAGAAGCGGGCAATTGAGAAGGCAATATCTTCAGCGGATCTCTGGGATACTGGATCTCCAAATACTCTGTACCTGTAATTGCATATTACATTACAAACGTATTAGATTTTTGTGTCCTCCTATATCGCCTTATTTATGCGCAGCTGGGACTCATATATTCAAAATTGTTCACTAAGGAGTTTGTTATCTTTTTTTTTTTTGGTATAACTCTGTTCTCGGGGTACGGTCCTATGGGCTAGCTCCTCATTGGAACAATGGGTGCATTGAGTTTCGCTATCGGAGGAAGGATGAGATTAATCTTCCATTTAAGGAGAAAGACACATCCTCTGGCCTCCAAAGATTTTTCAAGAATTTGCTTGAGGCAGGGTTTAAATCCTTGACTCAAGCAAACCCTTGGGAATTCAGTTGACAACTGAGTTACCCTACCCTTAGGGTTGGAGCTTGTTATCTTTAACTAGAGAGTTTTTGATCAACTTGTTAGGAAAAAAGATTTGTTCACTAAGGATAAGCATTAGGCAAAGACAAAGGATTATACTTACTGAGCAGTCCAGTTCTCAGTCCATAGTTGAGGCTTGTATGGTTTGTTTGGGCCTGAGAAGGTATCACCACAGTGCCTTCCATTGCATGCGTTGATCTGCCAAATCAATTAAGCGAGGTCAAGTCAAAGGTAACCTTTAGTTTATCGTGAATGGTTAGGATCCTCTCCCGTGACATAATCATGTTAAATAACACATGATAGGACTCATTTCCATGTCACGCCTCACCGGAAGAACATTTGTGCCTAAAGTATGTGATAACTTACCACGGGATCAGGGGCGTCCTTTTGCTTGCACATGATCCATGGGACTCCAGTATTCAATGCCACTGCCATATTTGCGGCCCATTGGACATAACTGTCTCCCTTCTCTTCATAGGCAAGTTGGATATGGTTGTACTCATTCTCAATCTGCAGTAATTCAATAGTATATCAGATGTTTTGTATATTGAATACTGAGCATAAATTAAACAGAAGGATATTCTTGTACAAAATCATAACCTGAGACAAGATGATAGGGCCTCCTTGGGGAGCAAAGAGCTTCTCATCTTTCATCATTTGTATAATCTTTGCCACGAATGCTTGCATGTGTGCCTTCAAATTAGAAAGAAATAATTTCAGTAATTTTAAAATTATATATTCAATATCTCAAATTAAAGGCTCGCAAGTTATAGAAGGAGAACGAAAACAATGGTTGTTGGTTACCTTGTAGGGTTCATTGTTAGAGCGGAATATGACACCAGGGACCTCTCTTAGCCAATATGGAAGTCCTCTGAGAATATTATGAGTTTATCAGAGAGTGAGAAATAAGCCTAACAATGCAGGATGAAATAATAATGAACCGGTTCCATACCCATGATTCCACTCTGCTTGGATGAAAGGCCCAACCCTGAGGGTAACATACATTCCTTTCTGTTGACAGAGCTTAATGAACTTCACCAGATCATAGTTGCCCTCGAAGTTGAACTGCGTAATGGAAAAACAAAAAAACCAAGCTAAACAGACTGGCATAGACATAAGACTTTACAATCGCATGCAGTGTCCTGTATTGTATGGTCCCAGAAATTTAGTTAAGAGATAAATTCCTTTATTTGAATTACCTTGCCTTGCTCAGGCTCATGAGCGTTCCAGAACACGTAAGTTTGAATCACGTTCAAACCTCCATGAATTGCTTTTTCAATAAGGTCTGGCCACATCTGCACACACCACATTCATAGCCATTACTTTATATATAAGATATATTAAATATTATAATTGGTAGGAATGGAAAAGCATTGAAGTAGGTAACGTACATCTGGGGTGCTTCGTGTGTAATGGATGGAACCGGAGAAAAGAAGCTCACGTCTTCCATTGATAAAGAGTGACCTACCATCATAAGTCACATTCTGAGCCCCCATTTGACGATAATGGTTATGCTTCGCCCCTTTACCTTTACCACGGGCAGCAGCAGCATCTGCAATGGTTGATGAAACAATGATGCAAAGCAGAGTGATGAGAACAATGCTGCGAGTAATAGAGACGGCCATGTTTTTTTTTTTTTTTTCTACAATGAACCCGCGAACGGGTTCAAAGAAAACAAAAAAAAAAAAAAAAAAACTAGGTAGTGGTTCAACTATTGGCGAAGGTGCCCAGAAGCTGGTTCCAAATTCCAAGGAGATATACTCATATAGGGACAGACAAAAATAACTTTTGAGGGCTCGGAGAAAACCTCGGATTTTCGTTTACCACGTTTGAATTCTGTTTAGGAAATCATTGGTCCAGGTTGTTTTGTCCTAGTTCTAGATGTCGCTTTTTCTTTCTTTGACTTTGAGTGTGTTGGCATGTTGCCTATATTTGGTCATAACCGTTGCATTCATGCATGATAACAACGAGTTTGACATGCGCGTATACGAGGATCTTCTTCATTTTGTCTACCTTTTAGGCTAACGTGCTTCTGCTTCCTCATCATAATGGGCAAGCTTTTTATGAGAAAAAAATATCTATACCTGCCTATTTAAATTCATAATAGCATTTTGTTGGAACGTTCCAAAAAAATGCTATTATAAAATTGATATAATTTCCAAATTGATGCATTTTAATTCATCGGCTTGTTCCTTTTATTCATCACCTTGTTACACGGCATTAGAGAATAATATAAATTATTAAAAAAACTCTCACCGGACATCTTAATATTTTGATTTAAGATGGTTCTTTACATGGTATCAAAGCTTTAGTGACCATAAGGTCACGAGTTCGATCTTCGCCGTTCCTACATTGAACCTATGCAATATTGACGTTTCAAACCCAAATGACTTTTACATGAGGGGATGTGTTAGATAATAATATGAACTATTAAAAAGACTCTCACCCAACACATTAAGATTTTGGATTGAGATGATTGTTTACACATTAGATCAAGGTTTGTGATTCTACAAAACTGTAACATCCCCCTCTCGAGCCGGTTCAATCAACATACATATGATACTAAACAGAAACAACGGAAGACTTAACTTACGAAAATACGAACTAACTTTTTCTTTTTCTTTAATCTTTTATCACATGATATATCGCATTGCATACTTCTACTAGTTTAATTCTTATTGGACGGAGACGAAAATCGGACAGAGTACCGTCTGTAAATCGGACAAATGAGGATTTAAGAATCCCACTCTCAAGATATCATGATAGACAGTTATACAATATATACTTTTAGAACTACCGGATATCCATATAAGACTATATTCTCATCCATGGGTGCATGCATAACTTGGCTCTGTGCCACTATGTCTAACAACATGCAAATCCAACATGTAAACATAAATTGAATATTACATCATCATATAAACATGCATGAATACCCAAATATACATGCATCAAAGAGGAAAACATGTACAAAATATCTACAGGCCATATACCGAATAAAGGATCAGACATCATGATCCTCAAAACAAATAGAATATTGAAACACATAAACAATCTTCAAAATAATGGTAGCATACTGTTACCCAATATCCAGTCCACAAAGCACTCTATCCACGGGTCGTATCCTTGCCCCGTGTAGGCTCACCGTCAGTCTGTGTACCTGAAATGATGTCCCCAAACGGGGTGAGATAACAAATCTCAATAAGCTCCAGGTTTATAAAGAATTCTCCATATCCCTGGGCGTACTCCTGCATGAAAGTCATATACAGAGTATACAAAGTATCATATAACAGATATCAGAACTAAACAAAACATATACATATCTTATCATAGACGTACGCAGTCATTCCCAAGGGAGGACCCTAAGCGGAAATCAACGCAAGTGTTCCCAAGGGAGGACCTCAAGCGGAACCAAAACATATCAGAGGTGTACACCGTCAGTCCCGAGGGAGGACCCCAAGCAGCCATCAGTGTACAATATAATCAATGGCCAAAGATTAATACAGAAATCACATCAGAACAAATCATATCATGTTATCAAATAGCTCTATATGAATGCATCTATAAAAAGCATCAAAAACAATGATACAATCCAACCATAGTTCACTAACCATGGTGGAGCACTCAAGCAGAAAAAGACTACTTAAACATAGAACTTACCTCTTGAAGCTTTACCAATTCGCTTACTTGTAGTACAAACTACGTATCTTGCTCCCCGAGTCTCCAAACATTCATCGTCCCTAAGCACACCTAGAGAAGGAATTCAACACAAACTCAATATAAATTTATATAATGCCATGTAAATATACAAGACACACATTTTATTGTTACTTTCTTTTTACTTAATCATATTAGGCCATGAGAGGGTGGTTCTTTGTTCAACAAATCCCCACAAAATTCTACATATTCACTTAGTCTTAGGATAGTCTCAAAAGGCCTTTAGAACACTTATTACTCCTCTTAGCACCTACAGGCTTATTTTTCCCAATTTAAGGCAAAGTGCTAATTACCAATGAACTATAAGATTTCTCTTTGTCCAGTGCCTAAACCCAAGCTTAGCCACCTATATAAATTATTTTACGCATAAAAGTGTTCTCACTTGGTGAAACAGTAACTCCTAGCACACACCTCATTTGAAAATGACCATAATCACATATAAGGCCTAAGGAAGGAACTTACTCATTTTTCTTTTTATCTAACCCAACCAAAGGTTAAAACATCTAATTATATAGTCCTTAGGTGTAACATCACGAGCGCTGACGAGGGCGGGAAGTGATCGCCGGTGCAAAGAGGCACGGACAAGGAGTGGCTCCTGACAGACTTCCAGCGAGGGGTTACATGCATGAATGAATCGAATCGACACCCGAAAGAGAGGGATTCCAAAGATTGTGCAGGTATGAGACTGCACAGTTTGGGATAACTTATAAGAATTAATTGGTACTATCTATACTAACAAGATGCATCTGCTTTTTCGTAGCCCAGAACGGAAGAACTCCACAGTTAAGCATGCTTGACTTGGAGCAATTCTGGGATGGGTGACCTGGTGGGAAGTTTTCCCAGAAAGTGTGTGAGTGCGGAAAAAGCAAACTGAAAAGTCTCGTGTTAGTATGTGGGGATAGTCATTGATTCTGGAAGCGGTCGGGCGTTACAAGTGGTATCAGAGCAGGGCCTCTCTTCCAGTACGGTGTGGTTCGAGGACGAACCAGGCAGAAGCTGGTGGACATGTAACATCCCAAGCGCTGACGAGGGCGTGGAGTGATCGCCGGTGCAAAGAGGCACGAACAAGGAGCAACTCCTGACAGGCTTCCAGCGGGGGGATACATGCATAAATGAATCGAATCGACATCCGAAAGAGAGGTATTCTAAACACTGTGCAAGTATGAGACTGCACAGTTTGGGATAGCTTATAAGAATTAATTGGTACTATCTATACTAACAAGATGCATATGCTTTTCGGTAGCCCGGAACGGAAGAACTCCACAGTTAAGCGTGCTTGACTTGGAGCAATTCTGGGATGGGTGACCTCCTGGGAAGTTTTCCCAGGAAGTGTGCAAGTGAGGAAAAAGCACACTGAAAAGTCTCGTGTTAGTATGTGGGGATAGTCATTGATTCTTGAAGTGCCGGGCGTTACATTAGGTCGTATACTCATTAGCACAAACGAGCACTCTAAAAACATACTTCCTTTGTAAATGGCTAAGAGGCATATAAAGGAAATTATGCCAATTTCATGATTCCAATGTTTTAGTCCATCAAATTCAAGCTTATCATACAACCATAATCATCATTAGGTAGTAAAACCCTTTTTACATATTAATTCATCTATTTATGCCTTAAAACACAAGACCCATTAAGCATCTTTCACTTAATTCACTCAATTCACAATTTACATATACATATAAACCTTCACAAAGTGTCCAATTATTTTTTTGCACATTAAACCCTAATTTTTCACACCATGGCTGAACCTAGTGGGAGGGATTCACGGGAATTTTTCAAACTTTAAACACGTGTTCATACTTATTTAACACTATAACATCATAAACCATACTAACTTATCATCAATTTTAAATTTCCAACTCCAATACTTTCCATAACATATGCTCATAATATTCAAAACTTAAATCATGACATTTAAACCATTGGAATGAGGATCTCTTACCTCAAATCACCTATACAAGGCTTGGAGAACAAAATCGAAGCTTGGTTCCACCAAAAATCCACTTCTCTCTCTAGGATGAATAGTGACCCAAATCTTGAGAAGGAGAGAGCTCCTCACACAAGCCTTTTCAGCCCAAACAAATGGGTGGAGTGGATTCACCACGATTTTTACTTAAACTTTCATGTATGACACTTTGTATTTTGGTGGTTGTTTGAGTAAGAAAATCAAGAAAAAGAATTGACTCAAACCCCCCTTCCATGGAAACTATCGACCAGCAAAGAGAGAAAGAAGATGAAGACAGCGGCGCACATGAATGAAATTATATAAAAGAGTTGTAAAGTCAAGTTACTTTAACTGAGTAATAACTTATCTATCTACACACCTCCATTCAATACCAAACTTCACCCAATGAACTAGAATATTTTTCAGTCATATTTCTAACTTTACTTTTGCATTCTAGATAATTTTCCTACACATATTTTTACCCCAAAAATCTCACTGACTGTACTTTTTTACATCAAAAGGAACCCTAATTTATTTAATTAGCTCTTTTACTTAATTTAACCCATTTATGGATGATTAAATATTTAATTACATGCTCTTTTCTAATTAAACGGTTTATGGGTATTATATTCACCCCACCTTTTAAGGATTTTGTCCACAAAATCACATATATAACATAACACATACCTGACGTCAAACTTAGGATAACGTTGGAGAATATCATTCTCCCGCTCCCAAGTAGCGTCCTCAGGAGTCAAACCTTCATATTGTACCTTGATCATGGGAATAACCTTATTCCTCAATACTTTCTCATCGCGAGCCAGAACCTTTAGTGGTCCCACAACAAATTTCAAATCTTTCTTTACCTCAATATCTTCCTGCTGGACAATATGTGACACATCAGATACATATTTGCGAAGTTGACTGATGTGAAAAATACTATGCAAATTTGACAAATGTGGAGGTAAGGCAAGCTGATATGCCACAGATCCAACCCTCTTTATAATCTACATGAAAGTTTGATATATTTTATCAGTTTAATATATTTTAATTCTGATGGAGTTCCATCCTGCATCACCTACCCCTCATCTGGTTTCTTCAGTGGCTTTGCCACCAAAGCATTAATTTTAACTTTAAATTCTTCATATTCTCTCTGCAATGAAGCAAATACACAAGAATTACCATATGTCATAATAGATATTGAGACAAGAAAATCAAAAAACATAAAGATCATCTTTCTTGTCATATCTAATGTATCACACCTTCATAGCCCTTCGTTCCTTCACAAATGTAGGATGCACCTTATCCTTCATATATTGAACTTATGAGAAAAATAGAACTCAGGAGCCCTTGGTTCTATATTGAACTTTTTGCAAAAAGGAACCTATATTCTTGCAAATTCAGCAGTTTATGCCAATGAATCAAACAAAAGCATAGATGCACCATCATCTGATACATAACAACATACCTTCTCAACTGGATAGTCAACAGCAAGGACTAACAGAACAATGTTTGTTGTTATAATAGGTGGTTCCTTCGAAGGGTCCACAGTACTCACAAACAAATCAACTGGGGCTAGTTGGTTTGGCTCCCCTTCACGCCCAAACCTTATTGATAAACGGTCCAGGTACGTTTCATGTGTGATGGGTAACCACTTGGGGAACTGGTCAAGTATCCATGACAATGCAAACCATATCTCACATATCACAAAGATAAGCCACAAGGGATATGCATCATATGCTGGAGCTAAGATACGGAAACGGAATAAGAAAGCAATGATAACAAGCCTCATCACAATTACAATGCGATATAGATTGATTAGGCTTGAAGTTATTGGGACCTTGCGCCACAATGGTTGCCTTTCTCCAACCAAACTCTCATGTGCCATAAGAAAATTAGTGCGAGTTAAAAGTGTAAACACTTTGTGCTTTGTGGTAGAATTCAATTTTATACAAGTTCCCTCAACAATTCACATAAACATCAAAATTTGTGGAGTTGCATATTATAAGTTGTGGAGTTGTGACTCTAAAAGGACATGTCATTATGATTGCTCTTTTCTTTTGGTGGTGTGATATTTCATTTAACAATCAGTAACATTTCCTTTTTATATTTTGGTTATGTTTTGAATTTTCTGCTTTGAAGTTAAACAATATACTCTAGAAATGTTTTGACCACAAATGAACAAATTTTTCCAGTAATAAAGAGGCAAATTGTCCCTTTACAATATACCTTCTAAATTGATATTAATTTTAGGGTCAAAATTTGACAGCATTCAGATTAGTATTCCCTTAAAATTGGGTGAAAATTTTAAGAACGAGCTTTTTGAACAAATATTTATAGATCATCTTGAATTTGATATATAGCATACTCGACGAAAATGCATTCTCATATATACAGACCAAGACTTTTTCAATTCACAGGAAAAAGCTACAGAAGAGATTACTTACAGATAGTCAACGGTTATTTCAATATGATAATATGCAAGATTTATAATACAAGGCAAATCATAGTGGATCACAATATATTTCAAAATATAAGATCCAAGATTACAAGGAAAATCATGATAATCAAAATCAAATAATTGGAGTGAACAGAGCAACAAGGGTATTCATCATAACCCCACAGTAAAAATAAGGGTGATACTGCTGAACCATGGGGGTAATCATCACAGGACATTCAGGAAAAACTCTTGCTTGTTCTTCAGATTGGTTCCACGACAAGGAATTGGTAATGAAAAACTTATAACCCTTGTGCATGATCAATGCCATCAATCAAGCAGTGTTTTTGGCATCATCAAGTACAGAATGAGCACGACCCTCCCATTATCTCAACAGCCTTCTTTAGATTGCACCTCATATCACCAAATACCTCATGGAAAGGAACCCTTAGGTTGATCCACCGGTTGAAATAAGCAGTCTTTGGTATCTTCTTGAATTTGCATTCAGATTCAATCATTACCTCACAATCGCAGTTAGACCATGTGACAACAACAAAGTCGGAGTTCTTTATTCCACTGATTTCAAGCCATTCATCATGCATGAGTAGAGCTTCAAACAATGTAACTCCACCGTCGACCTGATTTTGTTGTATATCGGTCAAATCCTTGCAGAAATAAGTCAAAATCTGATTATGTGTAGGCCTCACAAATGTCCGAAAGTATGTTTCTATTTGACCTGTGACACCACTCACTATGACTGATGGAAACTCAATTATCTCTTGAGGGTGGGGTATTTTATCCTTGTCACAGATAGCCTCAAAATCTATGACCACAAAATAATCAAAGACCTGAGAAACCTTGGGTGACTTAAGATGACAAGTTGTCTCAATGCTGGTACTGCCATCATTGGAAGACGACTCAAGAAAGCCGAAACGAGGACCACGTCTCACCTTTGCGAACGCTTTGATGCTGCCATCATTGGAAGACGACTCAAGAAAGCCGTAACGAGAACCACGTCTCACCTCTGCGAACGCTTCGATTGAACTTTACTTTCGCTGCTGAAGTTTACAATGTTGTTGTCACTTGCTCCGGAGAAGACGTTTTCTACTGTGCTCCATATTTTTTAACAGAAAGAAAAAATAGATGGAAGAAGAACAGGGATTCATGCACACACCTATCAAGTCAATCCTATTTATAGTGGAGGGCAATGAAATACTAATAATCGATATAGAACATTTTCTAAGATATTAAAAGATTTTAAAAAAGAAGCAAATCACAAATACAGAAATATAGAAACGATTCTTAAAAGATCTTTCAGGATATTTTAAATTGTTTAAATATATAACTAAAAACATGGTTTTTTTCACCTTTTTGCCCCTCATTAATTATTTAATAACCATTTTGCCCCTTATTGCAAACTATCTACCAATCTACCCCTCTTTAATTGATTAAATTGAATATTTAATCGATTAAATGGTCAAATGAAGATTTAATCGATTAAATCTTCAACTTAATCGATTAAATCTTCTTCTTTAGGGAGATTTAATCGACTAAATCTTCAAGTCAACGATTTTTGCCTATTTTGACCATTTAATCGATTAAATTTTTGGCTTAATCGATTAAAGAGGGGCAGATTGGTAGATAGTTCTGAGTAAGGGGCAAAATGGTTATTAAATAATTAATGAGGGGCAAAAGGGTGAAAAAGCCTTAAAAACATCCTCAAATTATTTTGATATAAGGACGACCTTGTTTGATATTTTTTTTATTGAAACTAATATGGCTGAAGATAAAGTTAAAGATAAAAATAACTAATAATTAAGATAAAACTAAGTTATAAATAAATGATGACATTTTCCCCCCCTAAAATTAAGGAAAATTTCAAAAGATAAAAAAAAATAAAGCTAAGCAAACATAAGATTAACTGATTAAAGAAAAGAAAAAAAATAATTACAATCAATTAGAGAATAAAATTCTAAAGATTAATAAGTGATTGCAATAAAATTAATATAATAAAGAAGGGATAAATTATTATAAGAAACTCATCAATCAATTAAATTCAAAACATATTCAAATCCAGGGGCAACCATTAATAAAACACCCGCATACCAAAAAAAAAAAAAAAATCCTTTATCAACTCTCGGTTGCAGATTCTACATTGTTTGACCTTTTCTAAAATATAAAAATAAAAATAAAATTAAAGATAAAGTTAATGATAAAAATATCCTAAAATTAACATAAAGCTAAAGTCAATAACAGTGCCAAAAGATAAAAAAAAAAGATTAATTGATTACGTAATATCTTAATGATAAATAAATAATTATAATTAAATCAATATAATAAATACATGAAAGTTTGGTGAGGCCAACATAAATCAATAATTCTAAACACTTTTTTTTTTGGTGAAATAATTCTAAACACTTAATTGGTGCAAAAATTAAATCTTTTATCCAAATACATAGTAAATTACATTTAACTATTTTAAGATTCACCAAAATGATATTAAATTTTAGATTTATATAAGTTTTTTACTTTATCTCATTTTTTATATTTAATAAAATTTTGACTTTATTCTGTTATGTACTTATTTTGTAAATTTACTATTAAATGTTAAATAGGTATATCTATGTATATATATTCTGAAAAAATTATTTTAAATATAAACAATTTTTCGACTTTTTAATAAAATTAAAAAAAATTAAAATATTGACATTTTAATAAAATTAAATCATTTTTTGACATACAAATAAAAAATACAATAAAATTTATAATTTGTCCGTGTATTTATCTTACCTCAGTAAATAAGAAATATATTTTTTATTTTTGTTTTATTTATAGAAACAAATTATATGATGTAGTAATATTGTTTTATTTTTGGAGGTTTTTTTTATTACACACATACAAAAGTGTTAGGGGTTTATGTTTTTTCTCTCTCTTTATGAGTGATGATATTTTCATTAAATTTTAATTAATGAAATATATTAAATAAATAAAATCTATATGAATAAAGAAATAAGTATAAATTGTAAAAAGAAGTTTTACAATTTATTATTTGATTAAACCCACTAATCATTCCAGTTTCATATGAATTGAATTAATTCCCTCCAAAATATTTGATTATTTCCCTCCTAAATCAAAATCAAAATCACCATTGTTCTTCTTTCACTCCTCTTCTCAGCTTCCACCAAAACCTAAATCAAAATCATCATTTCGACACACTCAGTACTCAGGAGCATATGATGTCAAGCCACCACCAAGACGACCTCGATTTGCTCCTTTCACTTCACGGTGATAGGGTTCTTGAAACCCCTCCTCCTGCTTCTCCCTCCTCACCTTCAACCTCACCAGGTAATGCCATCTTCTCTCTCTCTCTCTCTCTCTCTCTCATTCCTTATTATCATCTTTTTGCAACTCTCTCTATAATTGCAGGTTACCTCTCCGATGATGACTTTCCCAACCAAAGGGAGAAGACTGATATGTCCGTATTCAGAAATGCTGTTGAAGATTGCCTTCCTTACGAACCCCCTAAATCTAAAAAGAAACCTATTAACACTAATGATGCCCTCCTCGAAAAGTTTTCAGGTCTTCGAATAAGGTTCCTCATTCCTCTTCCTCACTTTTTCATTTATCTCATCTTAACGAATATCTGTTTTACTGTATTTGTTTTATGTACAGGAACCAATTGTTAACCTCTGCTGAGCTTAGGGAACGCTTCTCAGACATTCGTTTTGTTCGGTTATCAGTTATCAAGTAATCTTTAGCACCTCTTGTTCTATTATGTCTAGGCATAGTATTAACTCTTCTGTGTAATGATAATTGAATTGGCTTTGAAAACAAAATTGGGCCTACTCCAAAACCCTTTTAATAATTAATATGCTTTTGCTCTGAATTATTATTGTTCAGGAATTTGTTGATTGGGGATACTTTTTCTGGAAGTTGGGTGACTGTTGGAGTATTGACCGAGAAGGGGATTCAGAAAACAAGTTCAACGGGGAAGAGTTATTGTATATGGAAAATTGGGTGTTTGGATCAAAATACTGTTTCTCTTTTCTTGTTTGGTGATGCTTATCAGAGGAACTTGCAAGAGCAGGCGGGAACAGTCTTTGCACTCTTTAATTGTTCTGTCCGCAAGGATGCAGCGGTACTGAATTGTTATGGATTGGTTACATTTTTTTTTTTTTCATCAAGATTTGCCAGGTGTTCTGCAACGTCCTTTTTTATTTTTATTTTTTGCAGGGTAATGGTTTTTCTTTGAGTATATTTTCCCCTAGTCAAATTTTGAAGATGGGCACCTCTGTTGATTATGGAGTTTGCAAAGGGAAAAGAACGGATGGGATGACTTGTACGCTGGTCATAAATAAGTATGAAAACAAATAAATATCTCAAATTATTTGGATATGATGACCTGTGAGCAATAGCCAATAGGGTTCTTTTTTTAAATATCTGACCCTGATCCTATTTGGAATTTGCCCAGGGTGTTATGATCACTTCTTTTTTGTAGACACTTGTACTGATACTCCCTTTGTTGAACATGCCTGATTGAATTTATAATTTGGCACTGCTTGGGTATATCTTAATCATGAGAGCTTACATTTGATCTTTCAACTTCAGTGTGACAAATTAAACAAGGGGAAGAATGGTAAACGGCCTTTTCGCCCTGATAGGCTAGCAATAATAGATAACTTCGCCGGAAAACTGTCCAATAAGCTGTACTAATTTGATAAATGAAAATCTTTTGTTGTTCTTTTTACACAAAACCAAAACTAAATATTGAAATGGGAAAGCTCAGTCTTCTTGTTAGGAGCCAGTTTCTCAGGGGAATATGAAATAGCACTATACATTGTATTCTATATTTTAAAAACTTCCTTGATGTCGCTAGAATTCATTCTCTCTCTCGCTCTCTCTTTTCTTTCTCCATTTAGTAGTTTTGCTTGTAAACTATGTTTCTTTTCCTTCTGAGTTCTGGCAGTATCATACTATTTTTTTCATGTGCTGATTGATTGGCTTCATAACTGTTGATCTTTGTTATTTCAGACGCCATGGGACGTATTGTAAATATCATAAATCAGTAAGCAACATTTAATTTTTTCATGTTTTCTTGTCAATTTTATTTTTATGTCATGACAAGGATATCAATTCGCTAACTAGATATAATTTCCTGTAGACAGCATCACAGAAATATTCGACAACGCGAACTGAACTCAAGGGAGGGTGAGTATTTAGTACTTAAAATTTTCAACTATCTTATTGCTAGCATTTGATTGCGTTCAACTTATGTGATTTCATGTCACATGTGATTTTTGTTAGCAGAAATTTAAGGACAGCCGTTAGGCCTAGGGATTATCTCAGATCAGAAGGAATTTACTTAGTTGACCCTCTTGCTGACAAAACAAACGGGAAAAAGTCTCAGCCATTGAAATTGTTGTCTGTGGATGGTCTCAAAAAGGCATTGAGGTTTGTCATTATTAGCATGGGCTCAATACCCGCTGAGCTATATTGAAAGGAAATTTGAGTTTATTTTTTTACTCCATTTGAATTCTTTTGCTGCCAAGTATAAATATTTTAAATCTCTATACACCAGCAATGCAGGAAAAGTAACAACAAATACACATTCGCAAGGGATTAGATTTCTTTCTGAGGTTGCAGGTGAATAGATTATCTTATAAATTTGACGGCAATAATTTATGTATTAATGCTATTATATTTTGAGCTGGCTTTTACTACTATATGCAGGCAAATTGGGTTCTAAAATAATAAAGAAAGGACCAAAGACTCCAAATGAACAAAGCAATTGCACAGAGAAGAGGTGAGTTGTGAAAAAGATTCTACGCTAATGCAACTTGAATCTTATGCATTTCACTGTTTGATGCATAGCATATACAGTTTCACTTACATGTTATTGATTCTCTTCAGGAAATCATCTTTTATGAACGTGGGATCCAATGCAGTCATGAGAAACCAACCCTTGGATGTAAAAAGAATAAAAACAGATGGGCAAGCGTCGGTCGATAAAACCACAAAAAGTACAGGAAAGATGATTGAATTAGATCTTGTTAGTTCGGATGATGACTTCTGAAATTTCTGCATCGCTCCGCCTGGTTTTATTGTTGAGTACTAATACTGGGCAAAAATTTGCTTTAAGAGTAGAAAATGAAGGCTTCTGTAAGATGGCATCATTGGCATGTGCTGGTAAAAAGGTGCACGTCAGTGCCCGTAGAAGTTTTGATGATTCACTTGAAAGAGTTGTTTAATATGCCAAATTCTCACAATAATAGCGTATTTCACTCAGCTAAGTTAAGTCGGTCACTGGGATACCCAATTTGATTGGATTATTTAGTTCATCGCTATCAAAATTTGGGGGATGGGGATTAAACTATCAAATGAAACTTCTATATTTTGGGAAATTTATTACAGTTCAATGTTGACCAAAATGAAAGTCTTAGTTGATAATATAACGGAGTTTGATGGATTTACTTAAAATATTAACCTTGATTGTGGTCAAGGTGAAGTCAGGTATAGTATAGACTGGTTTCTTTTCCCCTCAAATTTTAGTAAAGGTTTCTTGTTCTATTCTAATGATTGAGTATGGCACAAGTTTCAAATAGGACCTATGGTAATATTTATAACTGATTTATCAAAGTTTACTTCCATGAATTGAACCATTACTTTACTAACAATTGATTTTATCAGTTGAGTTAATTTTTGTTAGCATAAATTTTTTTTAAATTTAAGGACAAGTATACACGACTCACTTCTGCAGAACTGATTAATGAAATTATTCAACTGGTTAGCCATTCAGTAGTTATTAACCTCGTTGAGTCATTAACTCTTTAGCTTTTATGAAATTCTCCTAATGGTCACAGAAACTTGAGGGTGGGATAGTCATTCTGCTTTTCTAAAATTACTGGTTTGTTCAAGGCTTCAAGCACCTACCGGATAACAGTGGTTAGATTTCTTTATTATTTTATAAACTAGCAAAGGAAATAAAAGGACTAAAGGAGCAATTATTGGGGAAAAAAATTAATATTCAAATAAATTTATTGTGCATCAACTCCCATTTTTATAATTGCTAAATGCATTACGTGTGCAAATTTACGGCACGTAGAAATCAAAATTAGTGAGGCCAGGGCAAACCCCATAAAATATTCTTTAAGAAAAATAATTCTTTCACTTGATTCCAAAGAAGCACTTGAGTAGGCCGTAGTGTCTATCTGATTTCCGATGGTAAATTCCACAGATTATATTTTATAGCAAAAAAACTATTCTTATGTTACATGTGATAAATTTCTCTCCTACACACCTTTCGATAACTATGTCACTTTTTTCTTTTCTTATCTTTTTATTTTTTAGATGGTGGAGCTCATAAGTTTATCTCTATGACATGAGATAATTTATCTCCTTTAATATGAAATTAATAAAACCCTATTTTATATACACGAAACGAACGACTGTGGGGACGAAACCGCTGCTTACGATGGTGAGACTTAAACTGTTTTTGTTTTTATGTTATTTTTCTCCTTTTGTTTCTTTCATTTATTCAAGGGATTTATACATTTTATGCAATATAAGAAGAGTCTTTTCATGCTATACTCACACTATTTTGTATGTCAATATTTTTAATTTTTTTATTTACTTTTTTTTAATGGAGCCCATCTGAATATGTATGTACTACAAAAATTTTCTTTTTATCATAAAAAGGAACAAACCCCTTTATCATAAAAAGTATAAACCCTTTATTCAATTGAGTTAATAAGGGGATGGAACTTTTTTTTATCATAAAAGAAAAGTATTATAATATATACTGCCGTTATAGAAAGGGAATTCCCACATTTAATATCCATTTTTAATTTTTGATAAATATTTTGCCTAACTAAAATTAAAAGGTGAAGAGAAGACAACCATTTAAATTAATTAAAGGTTATTGTATAGAAATTTTACTTTTAAATAGATTTATAGAGTTTTTCAATACATGATACAGTTTTCATTTTTTTTTTGTTGGATCAATTTTCAAATTAATTTTTCGTTCGAATTTCAAAAAAGGACAATTTTTTTGTTTGTATATGATTATATGAAATTAATTCTATAATATAATACCAAAGTTTTTGTTTTTATTTTATTTTTCTCCTTTATTTTCGTCCACTAATCACTTTGGTTGGTCATGCATCTTTTCAAGTTTAGAATCATTCCTTTGGTATTATATTATAGATGATCATGTAATGGTTCTTATTCATCTTCCATATGTTTAAAATGAAAATCACCCCGACTTCAGAAATATAATAGTTTTTTTAATTTCCTTTGTCATAGTTGTTGATTCGGATGCAGCTGTCGTAGCTAACATCGTTGTAAAACTTTCGTAGTCAACTTAGACTTTGGCCTTCTACTAATGACCACTGCTAGTGCCACGTACAAAATTACTAATCGCCATGTCTCAAATGCTTTTAAAATGTTAAGATATATAATCGTTTATTTTATGTTTGTTTCTGCTTGCTTTATCTATATATCACATATTCAATATGAAGATTTATGTGAAAAGGAAGATGATTTAGTGGTTCATCTCCATCATAAAGTTTCCTTAATGGACTAAAAGAAGCCCATTGTATTTGACCCTTGTTATAGAAGTTATTTTCAATAGTGTCACAGACAAATCCAAGAAAACAAAAAAGTGAAAACTCCAACCACAACAAACCAAATAATGTTGTACCTAACATGAGATAAGGTAGAAGAATATTGTCTTTCTCATCTCTCACCAAACATTACAACGAGGAGACCAGACAACGTCGCACAAATTGAAGTTGAAAGTTTCAAAGTTGAAAGGTAACATATTAAATCAATTTCATTTAGCCGAGTAATTAGGGGTGCTAAACGGATCAGGGGTCTTTCAGAAGTTTTTGACTCGACTCGTGAAAGCCTGAGCTTAAATGTCTAAAATTGGTTGTTGGAACCAGGCTAAGACTTATATAAAAGTTCGTTTAATAAAAAGGCTTCAGGCTCCAATTGAAAAGCTTAGCATCAGAGCCCCTCAGACTGGTCTAGTATATTAATTTTTTTTTTTTTATATTTTTTATAATGCTTGTAATAGCTCTCTCTATCCTCAATCTATTTCGTCCCATTTTATTGATTAAACAGACTTTTTGAATGATTTTGTTCTATATTATACTATTTGGATATATATTGAATTTATGAATATTTATGAAATTATTAGTGCAAATCTTTATTGTCTTATTTTTTTTAAACAGGCTAAATCAGACTTTTATTTTTTGTAAATAAGTCAGTCCACAAGCCAATAATTATATCCATAACATGTTACAGGCTTAGTCAGGCTGACACAATTAAACACAAACTTAGCATCTTAAGATCAAAGCTCAGCTCGGCTCGATCTGTTAATATACCTACGAAAAACTAATAAATCAAACAAAATTAAAGTAACAAATTCTTTTATTCACTTGCTTATTTCAACTACTTAATTTTTTGTCATAAACATATATTCCATGACCATTATAATCACAAACAAATGGACCACTATAACTAACTTAGGAGTTACGATAGCACACTGTAATACAATTATACAAGTAGAGGAAGTATCTGTTTAATTTTTTTTTTATAAACTTTTGCAAATTACGTTGTATATTTTCGAAAATACATAATGTACTCTAATATACTTCCGAGATTATACATTGTAGTTTGTAAATAAGAAATTTATAAATATGAGGATGATTCGTTTATAATTTTTTTATTTATAAATTTTTGTAAATTATACTGTGTACTTCCAGAAGTAATAATGTAACCTAATGTATTTTCAGGAGTATATAATACCCGAGTTTTTATGATTATGATAAGTTGCGAACTAATTACCAAGCTAATCGAATCTGATATTGTTAACTAGTCCTTATCTTTGGATCCCCTCCAGAAAAGGAGAAAGGGGGGCTATTTAAAAATTAAAATTAAAGAAACAAGCATTTTGTCTATATGCCCCGTTATTTACTTGTGTTATTGGGACTTGGGAGGATTATCATTAAACAAAGCATGTGATTACTGATTACTTCCCCTGTTATATTCAAAAAATCAAAATCCCCAGCTTAGTTGGTATCTGAGTTTGTTTATTGAAATCCTAACAGGTTTTCAGTTTTAACCCGTAATGGGCGGTGAAAAACTCGACTCCGATACGAGGGGTTTCACGTGAAAACGTTCGGCTTTTGTTCCTTCACAAATCCATAGTTCTCTTCTAGCCCCTCAATTTCAAGATCAACGTCAACATCAAAATCTTCGTATTCTTGTTTCGAGTTTTGATAGTGCAGTAGGTAGGCTGATGCAATTTGGCGGCAACTTCGTTTAAAAAAATCATCATCTATTGTTCTCAAACCATGCCTGCTGCTTAAAGCATTTGCCTTCATATTTCTTTCTTCGTTTTCTCTTGTTTATCGTTTTACTTTAATTCGCCTTTCGTTTCATCCAATGGGTCAAAGTGATTTTTAACGGGGGTTTGTTTACTTTCTCTCCCAGTCATTTTTTTCTCTCTTCTCTAATGGGACTCTGTTTATGGGCACTACTATTTATTTATATTTATTATTTGACATATAGTATATAGTATTACTTCCAAGGGAAGATTCAAGTATCAACCATAGTAGCTCTATTTTGCTGGAGTTAGGAATTGAATCCATAGCTGTATTGGGATTGATTGATAGAAAGGCAAAAAAAGAAATGGCAGTTAAGAGGAGATTTGTTTTGGTGGGGATTAGAATGGATAGCCATAGCAGACAGCTGCTCAATTGGGCTCTCGTCAAAGTCGCTGAACCTGGGGATTCTGTTATTGCAATCCATGTAGTTACAACTCCAGGTAACCAAGTTCGGAACTTTTACCATGTGTATTTTTTCTGAAACATACACTTTACTTATCATTGTAAAAAAAAAAAATTACTTTAACGCAGATTGTGTTTCCAAAAGCAAGCCCTTGGTTGATGGTTATTTAGAGGTTTATCAAGGGTTATGCGATGTGAATAAGGTACGTGTACATATTAATACTATATTATATACCTAATTCTCGTTTTATTATTCATAGTACTAGTGAATGTTATTTATTTGACCTCATTGAATTTCAGGTAGGTCTCTCCGGTCAAATCTTGATAGGAAGTTCCATTCGAGACATTCTGGTCAGAGAGGCAAAAAACCGTGCTGCGCTGGCTCTAGTGGTGGGGTATGTGGAGTTTGTATTTCAAAACTTTTGTTTCTGGATTTAGTTTATCTGAATATTCTAAAAAAAATATTTCACTTTCAGGGGTGGAGCTTCCACTGCTAAATATTGCGCCAAAAGATTACCACCCACCACCAATGTTCTAGCCATCCAAGGTGCAAGAATTGTCTTCAGAAGGTGCACAGATAAACAACAACCAGGTTTGGTATATCATGCGTTTCTTTAGTTGGATTATAGGGAACAAGTCCCCAGTGACAAAAGAAACTATAATAAGCTTGTTTCCAATGATGATAGGTGGTCTAATAGAGGATCCAAGAGCAAGTCTTGATAGCATAGTGATCCAGTCTGAATTTGGTGACTCGGAGGTGGAGAGTGAGAAATCAACCTGCGAAGATACCAGAGAATTAGAGGAAAAAGCATTTAAAGGAGCACAAAGGTGCATGAAAGTCTGGTCTAGATCAATATCACTGTTTGCAGATGACCCTGCTGAGCAGAAGCTTGGGTGGCCACTTCTCCGCAGGGCCCATTCAGAATACTCTCATGCAAAGGACATGTCTGTAGTACAATGGGTATTGAGCTTACCAGATCGTTCACCACAAAAAATTCCACACTGCTCCACCATTGAGGACAATTGCATCAGCTATAGAAAAGTTTCAACTCCATCTGTCAAGCTGCCAAAGGGCCTGGAAGGGATTTTAGACGTTAATATATTCAATTGCAAGTTGTTCAGCCTTGAGGTTCTTAAGTCCTGTACTTGTCAATTCTCTTCAGGTTAGACAACTGCTGCTTAAAGTGTGACTCTTGTTCTTTCTCTGTTTTAAGTTTAACCTTGTATTATGTTACAGAAAATCTGATTGGGAAAGGAGGGAGCAATCGTGTGTACAAAGGAATTCTGCCTGATGGGAAGCCAATCGCAGTCAAAATTTTGAAGTCATCAAAAGAAGCCTTGAAAGATTTTGCCCGTGAGGTGCAAATAATGTCCTCATTGAAGCACGCAAGCATCACCTCTCTACTTGGGATTTGCATTGAAGACAGTGCTTTAATCTCTGTTTATGATTATTTCCCCAAAGGAAGCTTAGAGGAAAATCTACACGGTAAAACTTTAGTGGAATTTTGTTCACTTTTCACCTATCATTAAAATTAGTCGAAAATGGATATGATACTGATATGAAATTGGAAATGGATATAGGCAAGAACAAGGATGGATCTTTCTTGTCATGGGAAGTCAGATTTAATGTAGCTGTTGGGATTGCTGAAGCACTCAATTATCTACACAATGAAACCTCGAAGCATATTATACATAGAGATGTCAAGTCCTCAAACATTCTTCTTTCCCATGGGTTTGAGCCACAGGTACTCATAAGTTTAATACTATTATTATTTAAAATAACATTTTGTATACGAAAAAATGCTAGACAGGAAGAACTTTTGCCATAATTTTTTTATTAGAACGATATGACTTGTTTGTTGATTCTTATAAATGGTCCCTCTCTACTACTTTGTTGATTCATATTATGTCAAAATTTTGGTTATTTTTTTTATGCTGTGTAGCATTGTTTTTTTAGATTGATTCTAGTACAAAAAAACAGTATCGTTACGCAGGAAATTTATGATGTGACTCATCATTGTCCTCATGTGCCAGTTATCTGATTTTGGACTTGCCATGTGGGGACCAACAACTTCATCTTTCGTGACACGGGAAGACGTAGTAGGAACATTTGGTTATCTTGCTCCTGAATACTTCATGTATGGAAAGGTCAGTGATAAGGTAGACGTATATGCCTTTGGTGTAGTGTTACTTGAACTAATATCAGGAAGGGAACCAATCAGCTCCGAGGCTCGCAAAGGTGAGGAGAGCTTGGTCGTATGGGTAAGAACTAACTACATTTTAGAATGAATTTGACTTCTTTTAATGATATAGAATATAGATCTATGTATTTATATATGAACAATGATTTCATTTTCAGGCAAAACCAATATTAGAGAGTGGGGATGTTAAAGACTTATTGGATCCAAATTTACAAGGGAAGTTTGATGTGGCCCAAATGCAAAAATTGGTTCTGGCAGCATCTCTGTGCGTTACACGGGCCGCGCGGCTTCGTCCTACATTGAACCAGGTAATACCAATGACCCTCGAGCTGTTAAATTCATAGCAGAAATCACATTTCAATATATTTTAAGAAAGTTTAGCTCCTAAAGTATATCACTTCCATTATGTACAGATACTGAAGATTTTAAAAGGATATGATGAGGAAGTTGAAAACTTTAATTCCCACGAGAATAATCATGACCATTCGGAAAATCAAGAAAATATTGATGATGAAGTCTATCCAAATTCAAGTGCAGAGTTGCACCTGGGCCTTGCATTACTTGATGTTGACAATGACACGACATCATATAGTAGTACAGAACACAGCAATATTGAACATTTGAAAGAACAATGGAGCAGATCATCTAGTTTCAATTAGCTTCTTTCAATTTTATGACACCTATATCAGTATGGACAGTTAAATAAAAAATCTATCCTCATAACCTATATCATGTTAACTTTGCCACAATGCAATAATCAAATTTTGTGTCTTCTAGATGGTTTAGAATGGTATAGTATATGGCAAAGCATATATGTCAGCATCAGGCAAATAGTGGGCATTGGGTTGGATTCCTTGATAGATGGCAATGCTAACATGTTTAGTTTGAGTTCTTTCACTCCTGGACCGATTCTTCTTGGAAAGCCACTTTTCATTATCAAGGTCAGTTGGAACTATCTGCAAAGGAGGAGGGACCCAATTCACAATCATCTTTTTGTACTCTGATTCTGTCTCCAACATGCCACTTTCAGAAAATGAAGATATAGATGTTTTGAAGTTCTCATTTGCAACAAATTCACTTTTACCCATAAGGCAACCACCTAGGTAAGTGTCACATTTAGAGACCACTTTATGATGGGTGTTTATGACCATAACCTGGGAAGAAGAAGTAGAGGACTTCTCTTTTCCCAATACACGAGCCAATTTGCATTTATCGTAAGTGTCATAAACACTAACAGGGATGATGGGCTGTCCAAGCTCCACTGAAAGAATGCTATCTTCGTGCTTTCCGTCTTCATCATCACACCTTTTCTGCCTAACTTCTTCATCTTCATTGACTTCATGTTTTCTCCTTTTTTTCTTCTTCTTTCCTTCCTTTTGCTTTTAGACTGTGCCCTTTCTCTACGGAGCTTCAAAGTGGAAAGCAAGAATCGTCATGTAAATTTTTTGAAAACTCACAATAACATTTGCAATTATTTACGCTGATTTTAAAAGATAAGAACAAGCCTTAATCAAGATCCTTCAAATTAAATTCACCTTGTCAAAAAGAGTGCCTGCATTTGACTTTGTGATATAGCTAACAATCACCGAATTCATATAACCTCCGTGCTTAACGGTTTCACGATTTAGTGTCCGTAACAATCACATGATCTCAACAACATAATTGGTGCTATTTTCAGTCATAACTAATGCCAAAGTGGTAAAAACTACACCTTGTCTCTTCCCAGTTGTTTCCGTATTATGGCTATAACCAACCATAATCAGAACAAAGATTGTTACAAGTGTGTGAAATTTGCGTGACATGAAAACACAGGAAGCAGAACAAATGTAGACTGCAACCAACATAATCAGTTAATCACATACATTAAATGAGATATTATATCGCCTTCAAGGATATTAAAGATAATAATAGACTTCAGTGGTTTACTGTATTCCCAAAGAATATGCACATTTAAGCCGTAAATGCAACTTAGATATATAGAGATTTATTCCACTCACATGTAAAAATAAAAATATTTTTAAAACATGAATTCGTTATCCATTACTCCTTCAAGAATATAGAAACTAACAGAGAAGTCATCAATACATTTTCCCCCATAATTTTGTTGGGCTTCCTCCTTCAATGCTAAGCTCAAGCCCATTTGAGGGGTTTCCTAAATACCTTAACCCTAATTTCCACTCCTCTATATATACTCATTAGTTGAGGGTGGAGGTTAGGTCAGATTTTGAGAAAACAAATTTGAGAGAAAAATTATTTGATTGTTTGAGCAAAGTTTTATGCTTTGCATTTGAGAGATCTCTAGAGAGAGTTTGAGTGAAACATCTCTAGGGTAGTTTGATTATCACCATTATTGGAGAGGTTGAGTTAACCACCACATTGGTGTATTTGATTCTTTGTAACCATTATTTTCATAGTGGATTTTTGATCTGGATTAGGTCCCGTCGGTTTTTACTTTTTCATTGAAGAAGGTTTTTCCACGTTAAATCTGGTTGTATTCTTCTTCTTCTTCTCCTCTCTCTCTCTCTCTCTCCTGTTGTCGTTTTGATTTTCCGCTGCGCTACCCGACCTGGTGAAGTTCAGGCCGAGGTATTGCCGAGATCCGAGATCAAGATCTTGTTGATTGACTTCCGCACAAAGGCTGCTTAGCCGATCTGAGGGAACCGAGTTCCCAACAGTGGTATCAGAGCCCGAGTTCGATGGGTTCTGAGGGAGACGAGATGGATACCAGTGGCATAACTCATGATGGAGATATGTTCAAGTTGACCGCAGACAACTTTTATTGGAGACCGATGATGGAAGATCATCTCTACTGCAAAGATTTACATGAGCCCATTATCCTTGATGAGACCGGCAGACAAAACTGATAAGGAGTGGGAAATCCTGAGTCGGAAGGCGGTAGCCACGATCAGGAAATATATTGATAAAAGCCTCTTTGAGCACGTGTCCGAATTCACGAACGCGTATGAGTTGTGGACGAAGCTGGAGTCCATGATACAGAAAAAGACTCCCAGGAACAAAGCACACCTAGTTCGCCGACTTGTTAAGCTTGAATACAAGGACGGCATGAGCATGATTGAACACCTGAACACCTACAAAGGTATTGTGAATCAGTTGTCAAAGGATGATATGAGAATTGATGAAGAATTGCAGGCATTGTTGCTGTTGAGCTCGCTGCCAGAAAATTGGGATACTCTGGTGGTGACCCTGAATAACTCGACTCCAGATGGAAAATTGAAGATGGATGTCGTGACAGACAGCCTCCTGGGCGAAGAATCCAGGAGAAGAGAACGAGGTACTCCGAGCACGTCTAAGGCCAATGTTGCTGAGAACAAAGGGAAATCTGACTCTCGGGGTAGAGGTCGTGACAGACGAGAAAAGTCCAGAGGTCGGTCAAAGCCGAAATATGAGTTGAAGTGCTTTTACTGTGGAAAGACAGGCCACAAGAAGCCAGACTGCTGGAACCTAAAGAATGATGAGAAGAACAGCTCTGTGAAGCCGGATCAGATTATTCCCAAGAAGAGGGAAGACAAGAGCATCACTGCGGTGGATGCCCTGATGCCGATATATTCCTCCTAGGTGAGGATAATTATTTGAATGTTGCATATGATGACTGCACCTGGATTGTTGACTCCGGTGCCTACTTCCACGTTACTCCACACAAAGGTTTTTCTCCTCTTATCGAGGTGGTGATTTTGGAGTCGTGAAGATGGAAAATCAAGTGACCAGCAAGATTGTTGGTGTCGGTGATGTAACTCTGACCACGGATGTCGGGTGCCGACTTGTGTTCAAAGATGTAAGGCATGTTCCTGACATGCGTTTGAACCTAATCTCGGTAGGCAAGCTTGACGATGCCGGGTTAGTGAACTACTTCGGTAGTGTTAGATGGAAGCTGGCAAAGGGAAACTTGTTCGTGGCCCGAGGTAAGAAGGAAGGCTCCTTGTACGTGATGCAAGGAAAGATCAATCGCGGAGAAGCCAATTTTGTTCGAGATGAACCTAGCTTGGAGCTATGGCACAAGCGCCTCGGCCATATGAGCGAGAAAGGGCTACAGATCCTGAACAAGAAAGGATTACTGACCGGGTTGAAAGGCCAAGCTAGCGTTGGAGAGTTGCACGCATTGCCTAGCTGGAAAGCAGCACCGAGTTTCTTTTGTGAGACCGGATCAACCAAGACGACGCAGGTATATTCTTGACCTCGTCCATACTGATTTCTGCTCCATGTTGGAAAGATCCCTTGGAGGAGCTCAGTACTTTGTTTCATTTATTGATGACCATTCCCGCAAAATGTGGGTATATTTGTTGAAGTCTAAAGACCAGGTACTCCAATACTTTAAAGAATTTCATGCTATGGTTGAAAGGGAGACTGACAAGAAATTGATGGTGGTCCGATCTGATAATGGTGGCGAGTATTGCGGCCCTTTTGATGCATACTGCAGAGCGGTCGGGATCCAATATGAGAAGACGCCCCCCAAGACTCCACAGTTGAATGGACTGGCTGAGCGGATGAACAAAACTATTGAAGAGAAGGTTTGAAGCATATTATCCAATGCCGGATTGCCAAAATCATTCTGGTGAGAAGCCGTCAAAACAGCTGTTGGCTTGATCAACCTCTCACCATCACGGCCACTTGAAGGAGAAATTCCAGAAGAAGTCTGGACAGGTCGGGAAGCGGCCTATAATCAACTGAAAGTGTTTGGATGCCGAGCTTTCGTGCATATCCCTAAAGATGAAAGGGCCAAACTTGATGCAAAGACTAAAGGATGATTTTATCTTGGTTCGCCGAGATGTGAGTTCGGGTTCCGACTTTGGGATCCAATCAATAAGAAGATCGTGAGAAGCCGAGATGTGATCTTTCATGAGTATGAGAACATTCATGACATCTCGAAGCCCAAAGTCCGGGTTACTGTCAGACGTGAAGAACCCATCCCTCCTGTCCGAGCTGAAGCAGGGGATGAAAATCAAGAAAATGAAGAAAATGATGATCAGCAACAAGCTAAAGATGACCAAGACATTGAGGTCCGAGTTGATGATGAGATCCGGGATGTGAATGATGAACTGGGTTCTCAAGCTGAAGAATAGCCGAGATATCCAACTCGAGAAAGAAGACCCTCTACAAGATACCCATCTGATGAATACACCGTTGTTGCTGAAGATGGTGAGCCTCAGAGTTATAATGAGGCTGTGACGAGCTCAGAGAAAGAAGAATGGGAAAAGGCAATGCAAGACGAGATGAAGTCTCGGCACGAGAATTAGACTTATGAGCTGACAGAGTTGCCAGAAGGAAGACGAGCTCTGAAGAATAAATGGGTCTACAAAATTAAGAATGATGAGTATGGTGAAAATGACCTCGGTCTGAACCGTGTTAGCCATGGCGGCTTCGATGGACCTCGAGGTAGAACAAATGGACGTGAAGACGGCATTTCTTCACGGTGATTTAGAAGAAGAAATATATATGGAGCAACCTGAAGGATTCCAAGCTCCAGACCAAGAAGACTTGGTATGTCGGTTGAAGAAGAGCCTCTATGGCTTGAAGCAAGCACCTCGGCAGTGGTACAAGAAATTTGAATCATTCATGATTGATCATAAGTTTGAGAAGACTGAAGTCGACCACTGCGTATTTGTGAAGAGGTATGAGGCTGGAGATTTTCTGATTTTGTTGTTATATGTTGACGACATGCTTATTGTAGGGAAAAATAAATCGAGGATAGCCGCCCTGAAAAAGGCGTTGAGCTCGTCCTTCGCAATGAAGGACCTCGGCCTTGCAAAGCAGATTCTCGGAACCAAGATCATCCGAGATAGACAGAAGAAGCTACTGTGGCTGAGTCAAGAGAAATATATTGAGAAGATTTTGAAGAGATTTAGCATGGACAAAGCCAAAACAGTGAGCACCCCCCTAGCCGGACACATAAAGCTGAACTAGAAGCAATGTCCGAGATCTGATGAAGACAAAGATGAAATGATGAAGGTCCCGTACCAATCCGCCGTTGGAAGCTTGATGTATACAATGGTTTGCACTAGACCTGACTTGGCGTATGCTGTTGGAATGGTAAGCCGGTATTTGTCAAACCCCGGCAAAGAGCACTGGAAAGCAGTGAAGTGGATCTTCAAGTACCTCCGAGGTACGACCGACTTATGTCTCCGATTTGGAGAAGGCAAAGCCGAGTGGCAAGGCTACTCGGATTCTGATTTAGGGGAGACGCCGACTCGAGGAAGTCGACTACAGGATATTTGATGAGATTTGCCGGAGGAGCTGTCTATTAGCAATCAAGACTTCAGAAATGTGTTGCACTATCGACAACTGAGGCTGAGTACATTGCCGCTACTGAGGCAAGCAAAGAAATGTTGTGGATGAAGAAGTTCCTCATGGAACTCGGTCATGATCAAGACAAGTACGAGCTGGGTTGTGACAATCAAAGCGCAATCCATCTTGCGAAGAATTCAACCTATCACTCCCGCACCAAGAATATTGATGTGAGGTATCACTGGATCCGGGATGTGGTGGAAGGTGGTGAGCTCGAACTCGTCAAGGTGCACACTGACCAAAATTGGTCCGTCATGATGACAAAGCTGGTTCCAGCAAGAAAATTTGAAGATTGCTGTGAAGGAGCCGGGTTGATGCTGAATCCGACGCATTGAAGTCGGAGGGGGAGATTTGTTGGACTTCCTCCTTCAATGCTAAGCCCAAGTCCATTTGAGGGGTTTCCTAAAAACCCTAACCCTAATTTCCACCTCCTCTATATATACTCATTAGTTGAGGGTGGAGGCTAGGTCAGATTTTGAGAAAACAAATTTGAGAGAAAAATTATTTGATTGTTTGAGCAAAGTTTTGTACTTTGCATTTGAGAGATCTTTAGAGAGAGTTTGAGTGAAACATCTCTAGGGTAGTTTGATTATCACCATTGTTGGAGAGGTTGAATTAACCACCACATTGGTGTATTTGATTCTTTGTAACCATTATTTTTATAGTGGACTTTTGATCTGGACTAGGTCCCGTGGGTTTTTACTTTTTCATTGAAGAAGGTTTTCCCACGTTAAATCTGGTTGTGTTCTTCTTCTCTCTCTCCTGTTTTCGGTTTGATTTTCCGCTACGCTACCCGACCTGGTGAAGTTCAGGTCGAGGTATTGCCAAGATCCGAGATCAGGATCTTGTTGATTGACTTCCATACAAAGGCTGCTTAGCCAATCTGAGGGAACCGAGTTCCCAACAAATTTAATCATTGAACCACAATCTAAAAACATAAAAAAGAAAAAACCTCTTAGGATAAACTTATAGTACCACGTTGAATAGGTAAGGCACGTATATATTAATAAAGACACTCGAACTGACCTCTAGTTGTTTTAAGAGTGCCTTACCTGCTACACCATTCCTCACATATCCTGGTGGAGGGAAGGGCAGGCACCTAGACATACTGGTGAGAGACAAGCGAAGTCAATGAACACACACTTTTACCTCAAATCAAGCACTGTTTTATTGGATAATGGCTAATGATTATCCAAAAAGATGGATTTTCACTTTATGTTCTGGTTTTACTGTGGTCTAACTGTTTCTATAAACCTTAATTTCAAAGAGCTGAACTAGAGAGAACCATACAAACAAGACGGTATATATATTTAATCAAAAAAAAGAAAGTACTGACTTTTAAGTTTTAATCGCTTTACTTTTCCGTCCCCTTCAATAATCAACAATGGTCAAATTTGAAAATAAAATAAAATGTCTTATTATAACTCACATTTGTACTAACATCACATTATACGTGTGACCATAATTGTGCCAATTTTATCCCTAGCTTGTAATGGGAAAAGAAAAGAAAAAACAGTTTTTGTTTTTTAGATAGTTTGAATTTGATTACTTGACTTCTACTCAGGGTAACTCTATGAGATGTAGTCTACCAGCAGTATTATCTCCAAATATATGTAAAATATTTTGATGTGAATGACACAAATTCAGATACAGCTTTCTAATTGGAATATTTCGTATAAAAAAGAATTTCTATTTCTTGGAATGAGGTATACTTTGTATTTTATATTTGTTAGAAAAATATAAAAATCATTAATGTAATCTCACCTATCAGCTAGATTAAATTGGTTCTTTATATGGTATTAAAGTCTCCATGACCAAATGGGCATGAGTTTGATCCTCGTCGTCTCCTTTAATTAATAATTAATCAAGTCTTGTGAAGTTTGTTAACACAGATAGATGGATCTGTGCATTATCTTTCCTTTAAATTCAATGGGCTCATGCGTGAAGGGGCGTATTAGAGAAATATAAAAACCATTAATATAACACCACTTAACAATTTAAACTTTTAGGTTGAATTGATTATTTACAATAGCAAATTAACACATCTGTGATCGACTGTTTCTATTCATTAGCTAGGGTTCCATTAAGGTTTTGTTGATTCTTTGAATGGTTTTTCAATTACAAATGAGGATTAAATAAAGGGAAAAAAGTTTCTGATGTTACTTTAGATAACTTTGTCTAATGTTCATTAAAACGACGTCGTTTTGAGGTTGAAAAATTAAAAAATTAGAATGATAAAGACTATTATATCCCTAAAATAAATTAAAATTACAAAAACACCATAATTTCCGTCTCAAAACGACGTCATTTCAATAAACATTAAATAAAGTTATCCAAAGTAACTTTAGAAAATACAAATCCTTAAATAAAGTGGAAATCATTTTAACACATTCTTATAGTAAATAACATAGCAAAGGAAATCATAAATTCTATTAAATTGTTTTTATACTTAATAACTGCTTAACAATTTCCCCTATATTTTTCCATGACATATCAAATTAGGAATGAATAAATTATGTGCATTTATCCAATAGTATAACATTATTTGTTCAGGGTAATTTGGGCTATTTTGCCACACATCCTCTATTTTTATTAAAGTAAAACATCCTTTTTAGTCTCAGATACTTCTTTTCATCAATTTTATCTATTAAAGAATTAAGTTTATTGTCTAGATGTGCAAAGTTAAAACTTTATAATTAATTTTATGCAAATATCACTGCTCGAGTTATATACATTAATTACTTCCGTAAGTGACAGTGAGTTTATTAATTGAGTCAACTTAAAACTCATCGTGACGTCTAATTAGTCTCCACAAGAGCAATATTACAAAATGCTTCTGATGATATTGAGCTGCTTTTGATTTAACTATATTAATAAGAGAAAATTGTGTATTATTTTAAAGGATGTAAAGCTGTGTCATTTTAAGTGAGAGAAAAAAAATAGATAAAAAAAGAGAGAGTGTGGATAAAAAAATATAAAGACGTGAGTCCCACTTCTTTGTGAGAGTGAAATGATATAAATTATATCATTTAAAAAGACAAACATTTTTTCCTATTAATAATGGAAAAAAGAATTTTTATGTTATAGGAGAACTCTTTTTCTCATATTAGTGAGAGTTCGTTTTGCGTAAAATAATTTTTTTTGTTTTCTTTATTTTTTATGTGTGGATCCTACTATAAATTTGAGTGTGTAAAAAACTTTCCTCCTCTCCAATAGTACAAGAAAAGCATTGGCCATTAATAATTGCACAAAACATGTTTCTTTTTTCTTAATTTCACTAATGTAAATGATGTGAGAGTAAAATATCATTATATAATATGGCCGTTCATACCGGCAATAATTCAATCATATTAACGGGGTTGGGAGGCACAAATTTGACGGAGGTGATTGACCTTTTGTTTTCATACACCACCTACCACGTGATTGTGCGAACTAATTATTTTCAATTTTCATTTCATTGTAATAGGACAAGGTTCTCTCATGGGAAAGCCCAAGTCCCTAATTTTAAAATATCTTCACATTATTAGTCCCAAAATATCTTCATATTAAATAATAAAACAAAATGATATTTTAAATAATTTATTTGCCATGGAATGGGTATGTGATTGGGTAGGAGAAGGATTAAAAACTAATCTGTAAATGACTTGTGTCACGACAAACACGGAGGCAAAAATAAGTATCACCAAAATATTTGAATTTGAAGACATTGATTGACACACGCATTCAGCATAGACTCTCAAAATCAAAGTAATTTACAATGAACATGACAAATTTGCCCAATTTGATGTTGGCGGCACATATCCACTAACGCTAGCTATAAGGATTCTTGAGTAGGTGTTGGTAATATACTCTATTTTTGCAAATAGCAAAATGAGAAAAGAAGAGGAGGAGGAGGAGGAGGAGGAGAAGTTGAACAGTTAAGGAAGTCACATGACGGCACAGGCGGTAGGGTTCTCGTCGCTGAAGGCGGTGGTGTAGCGAACCTCGGTGGAGCTGGCACGAGTGAGATGAGAGTATTGAGGGTCATCGATGTTTCGGACATAACCGGAGGGAGCTTTCTTATCGTAGACACCGGGGGCGTAGGGGTGTTCGACGACGTCGTAGGGGACATAGGGCCAGATCTCAGCCCTCTTGCCGGTGCGGTGAGCGATGCGAGCTACGACCTTAGAGGGTTCGACGTAGCCGGAAACGGTGACCTTGTTGGCCTTGCGCTCTATATCCACCTGATTCACCCCTTTCATTCCCTCCACCGCCTTCCTCACTTTCCTCTCGCATCCTTCGCAGTCCATCTTCACTTTCACCTCCACCGTCTATAATTCATTCAATTTCAAACCACACACGCACACACATAATCAATCAATCAATCAATCTGTATCTATACATAAATATTGAAAGTACACTAACTACAGCTATTGGATCTGATCTGATGTTACCTGCAATTGCTTGCGCTTCTTGTGTTTGGAACTGCCATTGGAGCAGTCAAAGAGGTCAGAGATGTGATCCAGTGCACCCATTTAGCACGTGTGATTTTACAACGAAGGAAGGAAGGAATCGCGAGTGAGATTTGATTCGAATATCTATCTGATTCTAAGCTAAGCTAAGCCAAGCCAAGCCAAGCAGAGGAGATAAGATGAGTTAAGTTAAGCAGTGAGCGAAACGCAGATTGATTATGTTATGGGGTGTCCAGTTTTAGTTTTATAAGCAAGTGCAGTGTCCAGTTGTCCAGTAACAACACAGCGTAGATTACGGTCTTACTTAAAATCTGAGACGTCCGTAATATCAGAAGGACGAGATCTGTTACGCCACGTGTTCCGGCTGTAACTGGACGGTGAATCGATAAGCGTTCCATGCACCGCCCTAAATGGAAGCGTTTGTTTCGATTGTGGCGCAAGAGAGACAGACAGGTGAGTAAGTAGGGACGCGGCTTTAACAGTGGGGACCACCAGTGTATGGAACTGTGCATGGATGGGTGGTGCGCTAGGACTGGCACGGCCCCACCAATAGTTCCAATAATCATAATTGCTATTATTTCATTCGGGACAACGTGGGCAGTCACAATGCCCGCGGGCCATGCCCAGCACAGGTATCCATCTACACATGAAAATATCTTCTCACCCAAATTCTTTTTAAAAAAGAGATAAATCCAATATATTGACTTTTGAGAGAGGATTTTATTTTTATGATCTGGTTGTGTCTTTTTCAAATTCATTTTATATTTTTCCTATATTATTGTTTATAATTTATAAAAAATTAAAATATGAAATAAAAAATATTAAAATCATTTTCATATTTTAATTTTTTATTTCAATTAAAAAAAATCATACAAACAAATTGATGAATCTCAATCCTATTCACCTTCACTTATTTTGAAATATATTTTTATTCTTCATATGTTATACTTTAATTTAGTCCTCTTACAAATTTTTTTTTTTTTTTTGGTAAGCTGGGTAAAACACACCACATCACAAATTAAACCTACAAAAATTATTTTGATTCTTAAGATATCTAACATTTTTAATGTCCTCCGACTTTTGAAATATTAACATAAAATTAGTGTGTCTAAATTCAAATAATTATTAGCACGTGTAGAAATTAAAAATATGAAAAAATTACTTTTTGTTTTATTTTCTATATTTTAAGGGGAGAGTTATACTTATCAGAAAAATTTACTACTCTTACAACCAACTTAATTATCGTTATTTTTCATCAATCTAATGATTTTATTTTATTGGAAATTAATAATATTTATTGGGTAATATTTATTAATTAATTATTAATTTTTAATAAAATATAACTGTTAGATTGACAGAAATCAACGCTAATTAAGTTGATTGTAAGAGTGGTAAATTTTTTTGTGGTAAGTGAATTCGTCCCTATATTTATTATATTCTAATATAATATAATTTTAACTGGTTGTATTACGACAGTAACAAATATACAAGATTAAATGAAAGGAAATTATTATTTCATTTTACATGAGATAATTATCTCATGTTATTCTCACGTCAAAAATTGTGTCACCATTTTTCTTTTTTTTAATCAGAAAAATATTTCTGCAGTTACTACAGATAAGTTATTTATATTTACTCTCAAAATGACGTTATTTTACGATTTAAATATTAACAAATTATAATTATAAACACTATAATCACCCAGAAATAAATTAAAATTACAAAAATATCATGATTTTCGTCCTAAAACAACGTCGTATTGGACTTACTGCAGATAACTAATATGCAGTAATTGCAGAAAAAATGAATTCTTTTTTAAATGGTGATGGACCCACCACATCATGTATCTATAGTGAAGTTGAAATTAAAAACATTGTTCAATGAAATCCCTTAAATGAAAAACATTGTTCAATAAAGTCGAAATTAAAAATAAATTTATTGTAAAATATATTTAAAATAAATGTATTGTAAATGGGGAAGAATTTATATTTGTAATGTTGCGCTTAAAGAAAAAAGTAGTCTGCTGACATATAACTTTTTTTTTTGCTTTCTTTCTTTTTTATATATGTGGCCCTGTCAATTGTTATGTGTTTGGACACTTTTTTCTTTTCCAGCTACATTACAGATACCTTTCCTATTGTGTGTATATATATATTAATTAAGAATTTTTTATATTATATAAGATAATTTTATCTCAAATAATATATAAAAAGTGAATTTTCTCTTCTCATCAATATTTTTTTATATTATATAAAATAAATTATCTGATATAATATAAGAAATATATTCACCAATAATCAATTATTTATCCAATCCCCTCCCCCTTTATAAGCTACTAATGATACAGGATCAGCTGTAGGTAATAATGTCTTTCTTTTTCATATGTAGCGTGTCCGTCCCCCTCCTGTCCTCCGCGAATTTATCAAAAACACAACCACCCACGACAAATCGCCGAGACAATTATTGAAAAAATGAATGTTGGTGATGGTAGATATTTGTTACGATATAAATTAAACTATTAAATAATATTTCGATTCAAAGTAATTATTGTTAAAAATTTATATAAATTTTTTAAAGGTTAATATTAAACCGTAAACTCTTATTAAAAATTAATTTTAAAAACTTGATATTTTTAAATGATTATGATAATTTTATACATAATATCAAATACATACCTCTTCTAACTCAAATGATTGTTGTTTATCAACAAGTCTGGTTTAGTTGATAAATAATTGAGTCATTTCAATATTCTGACAGAAATTTAATTTATAGCTGTATGTATAAAAAAAAATTGTTAATAGAGGCAAAACTCACTTCAGTGATCTCTATGCTTCAAAAGGATTAGTCTTCACCTGTAGGCTGAGGAATATATTGAGAAAACTAAAAAAAAATGATTGTTGTTTAAATCTTTTGATTTATTTCTATATAATAAAATATATTTTACACTTTTTAGAATTAGATAAATCTTTATTCTACTTTTATTCTTCTTAATACATATTTAATGACTTTTTAATTTTTACACAATCTTAAATTAAATTTATTTTGGAACAGCATAAGCATACTAATTAGCAATACCCGTTAACTTAACAGACATCTAATATCTTTTCAAAATTCTATTAACTATTAGTCAATATAGTAATTTTTTATTATATATCTTTTTCTTAAGTTTTGGTGGCTAGTGGCTATTATTTATATTCGATAATCCTCTTATTCGTTTTTTTTATTTGGGCGAAAAAAAAGTTTCAAATGACAAAATCAAAATGTGAGATTCCTGGAAATTTTGAAAATGAAAAATAAAGCTTATTGTTACCAATAAATAAATAAAGCTTATTATCAAAAAATACAAATTTATAAAGCTACAGTCCCATCTAACTTTAACGCATTTGTAAATTCGCACTATAAACTTTTAAATTATTTCAATTAATTTATAAATTGTATGAAATAACAAATTTAAAGTATATTTTTTAAAAATTGTCAATAGGTTATTAAATTTCCTTTGAAATTTCATTTCAGTGAAATTTTTATCACTTCTTAAATTAAAATAATTACAAATAAAAGCGATTAAAGGAGCATGGTCTTCTCCAGACAGGGTTATAATTTTAAATATTTTCTTTCATATAAGTTCTTACTTATTAGTTTGTTGCATATTGATTGTTACTTAAGAAAAATAAAATTTATTTTTATTATGCCACTTCATATCTGTTTCATGTAAAATTAGAAAGCGCATTAATGTAAAAAAAAATTTAGACAAATGTAAATTTTTCAAAATTAACTATTTAATTAAGTCCCTCATCATTGACCTACTCCTAATAATTTAATGGGTAAAGATTACGTCAATGCTTATATAAAATCTTAAATAATGTTTCAAAAAAATTTCTTAAATAATAATTATTTTGAAACAGAATCAATATACTACTAATTAGCGAGATCTATTAAATTAACAGGTATTAATATTTTCTCTATATTTCGTTAACTATTGATTAGTATAATCTTAGTATTTTTTTTATTGTATCTGTTTTTAGTTTTAGGGGCCAGTATTTATTTTCTATATTCCTCTAAGTCGTTTTTTTAATTGGGTGAAAAAAAAAAATTCTAAAGACAAAAAAAAAAATGCGTGATTCCTGAATAATTTACCAATAAAAAAAATTAAAGCTTACAATGAAATAAAATACACATTTATAAAGTTACAGTTGCCTCTAACTTCGACTCATTCATAAATTCTCCTTGTAAACTTAAAATTTATTTAAAATAAATAATAAACTCTATAAATTACAAAATTTAAACTCTCCATTTTTTATTTTTGAATTTCCAATAGTTGATTAAATTACCTTTAAAATTAATTTCAATGAAAGTTTCATTACCTCTTGTTATGAAATATTTTCATATCCTAACCATCTACCCAAGGATCCCTTAAAGGATAATTACTCAATTATCCTAACAATATAAAACAGTAAGGTGGTAAGGATAGAGTCAATATCCCAACAGAAAGGAAGTTAAGTCCTACTACAACTGAGAGATCCACACAAGCCCAAGAGGTAACCCTTATAAATAAGAGGTTAAAGTACCCAGGTAGACACTCTGAATTCATTTACTACTTCTGTCCACACTGTGCACACACCCACGTCTCGGCTATAAGACTATTGCTTGTGCGCAGTGATTGAGATATTAGCTATAAGCCAACCAAGATACCTATCGGTATCTTTGAGCGCATACCATACGATATAGCAATACGGTTCTCTAGGACCATTGGCGATATTGACTATAAGCCAACCAAGATACCTATCTCTAGGGTATCTCTGAGCGCATACCATACGGTATAGCAATACGATTCTCTAAGACCGAACATTGGCGCCGTCTGTGGGGTACGGCAAATTTTGACTCCCATCCATGGTGAACACATGCGGTATAGCACAAAGCCACAGAGTGCAGGCTAACTCGCGCACCCTGAAATTGTTGAAACCACACACACACACACACACACATATATATATATAAGGAGACAAACCCTACCGCAAAAGGGTTTTTGATCCTCTTAGAGACTCTAGAATGGAGCTCTAGATCCAAGCAGATGAGGATTTGACAGAGATTCTCGTAGTCGCAATTCAAATTTATTAGCTTGGCCTCGGCCTTGAGCTCAGTCCAACGAAGGGCTTCAAGTTTAAGAGCTAAGCCTCAGCCTTGAGCTCAAACTCAGCC